GCGGAGATTGTTAGAGAACAAAATTTGGTCAAATTGTCTAAATAATCATGTTAAAATCTTTCTTTTAAAAAACTCATGATTTTACAGTCCTATGTCATAGTTCCGTTCAGATTTTCGTCGACTCGTTACCTCGTAACTATCAACCGGCTTGATTTCGCTAGTCGCATTCCGTGACAATTCACCATTTCTCATTTTGTTTCATCTTTACTTTAACCCCGACAAACAGTCAACACCAAGACAATTAATAACCCTTAAAACTTCTCGAATTCAATACAAATGTCTTCAATTCAGAATAAGACGATATGATAGTTAGTATCATTTCTTAGTCGAGTCTAGACAGAGACTGGGCATGGATTAGTCGGTTCGGAGCTATGTCACGAGGATATTTCTGTTTTAGGTCAATTCTGAGCCATCACTTTACCAATACACAAAGTGTTCCTTTAGAGGTATGAACAAGGTATCAAAATGCTTCATTAGGAAGCACGAAACATGAATTTTTCTTTTAGGTGCTTTTTGCAGTCATACACCGGGCATGCGAAAACTTGAAAAAAATAGGCTCAGCCATAATTAATATTCTTGCCAGTAACCACAGACGACAGGAAACAGTTTCAATACCTTGGCTTAATAGTCTTAAATAAAAAAATGGAACATTATTTGGGGAATTCAATTGATGCCCAGACATGTTTTAGCTCATTACGAAGATAGCAAATAGGGCAACATAGAATGACTGGGGTTTAAGTCTGATCAGTTTTGGAAAATACTTTACTTTCTTTTAACATCTTTACGGACACAGTTAGGACTTTTAAATTTTGAGATTACTTTTTAAGTTGATCATTCTCTCTTTTTTGATCATGTAGTGAAAAGATACAGGAAGGATCTAGGAAGGGCATGCACGGCAGCAGATCAGGGAAGGGGGCTAATGGTTTGAGGGGTGGAGTTTTATTGTCAGTTTGCCCCTTGGTACAATTTCAAATTTGGAATAGCTGAAATTTTGAGTGTTCATAGGATATAAGGTCTACTTACGGAATTTCTCCAGTAACTGATATGTAATCAGCTCCCGGAAAAAATACCATTACGGAAGGAATTGAACTCTAAGGTTGCTCTGTAAGTGTCGGAAATGCATTCCGCTTTCATATTTAGCCGCTAAAATCCCAAAATACTTTTAGGATTGAAGGACATAGAAGTATGTTATCAATCTCCGAGTCAAGGAAGTAGCTAGACTGTTAGCTCAGCTGGTGGAGTTATATATGGACACAGTTTAGCAACTGGGGATACACTTCAACTGGTATGGTTAAGCGTTAGTCCTCAACTTAACGACCAGCGATTGACAGACGGCGGGATACACTGTGATCGCACGAGTCTTTACTTTGCCATAGGCGGTCCCACCAAGGACAGAACAGTCTGTCATATAGCTGTTACAGCCAAGACTATTACACAAAGAAACTTGCATTGCTTAGCGTGAGCGAGCTCAATTTTCGCGCTTGTGTTTGTCTGCGCTGGACGATAAATAGCCTTCAGCCTCGAGTACGATAGAGATTTCAACGTCTCATTAAAAAAGATCGAGAAGCCTCTGAACAACTTGAAATTAAAGCTGTCGACGTTTTAATTCTATAATAAATAATTAAATAAATAATTTATAAATAATAAATAGGTTAAATAAATAACATGCTTTTTTCATTCTATTTCCTATTCGAATTGGTATATAAAAATCATGAGTGAAAACCACCTAGGCAGGTTCATAAATACTCGATTGATTGAACGTTTCATGCATTTTGAAACGACTTAATGATAAGGGAGTGTTTGATTGTTTGCATTCAAAATTTCACTAGCAGCGCCGCGAAGCCCCTTCTTCGAGCGATAGAGTAAATCCCTTTCTCTTTTCAAGGATCGAACTATACGTATACTTGCAGGTACCATTTGTCGTGTCGCCGCCAGAAGGCTTCATCTATACTTCGTGCGGTTAATACACATCACAATCTCGCCCCTATGTAAGGGAATCCAAGACAGTCTTGGATTGTGGATTCCGGATTCTAATTACTGGACTCAAGATCTTTTTCAGTAGAACTTGGATTCCGGATTCCAACTGTAAGTGGGATTCCGGATTCCTACAGCTGTATTCCGGATTCCAAGACCCAGGATACTGGATTTCCTTACATGGAGCGAACAATAGCTTTCTCCAGTTGTTGAGGCCCTGTTTAGGATAAAAATTCCACAAACGACATGGCTTTGAAACAGTGACATTTGACAGATGAAATGGCGACAAACGACATGAAGATAGGACGAAACTGCGACAGCGACAGAGACAATCGCAAAAACAAAAGAGAAATAACGACAGCGACATGGCCTGCGCCTCAAAACGACCGGTTTTGAAATTTATACTAGAGTCATAGGTAAAGTGGGCCTGTTTTCCTACATGGACCCGCCCAACCCCTTTTCGCTCAAGCTATTGAAAAAGAGTGCAACCAGCAGCGAAATGCTGCTCTTCTCTCAGCGAATCAAAGCTGCGCATATTCCTGAGTTGTATATTTTTGTGGGTCGTTAGTGTTTCTTCGGTCACTTGGGGTCGAGAATGCAGTATATGGTCAACCCAGCCATATCGGTAAGCTAACACAATGTTTACGAAAATTCCGCGCTTTTTTCGATAAATTGACATTCAAAGTCCAAAGGACCGCAAAAGAATATGCCGCAAAACGTAGGATATATAAAAGACCTTGCCAGCAAAAATATACACTGATTAGACGCACTGAATTCTGATTTTTCGATCTCGGAAACTTAACCAGCCCGCATATTAAAAAATATGGTTACGGTTTAGTGAAGCTTAGTGACAATTAGCCGGTTGTCGGTCAGGTTTGCTTGTCCGACTGCGTTCAAAAAGTTACAAGGGAACGGCTTGATCAGTTATCACCAGTTCGCTACAGGCGGTTATCAACTTATTTTAGTGTTAATTAAGTATCGACAACACACACTGTGATAACGACAAACAATCCACAAGCATTTTGAATTCTTCAAATGTGTTGCATGGCTGGTCAACTGCGGTAGAAAGTGTAATATAAATAAGAGAGGTAATTTGATCCTTTGTCCCCCTGATTAAGGAAGCAGCAGTTTATTGCGATTGATTGAGATTGTGCTCCCCGGGCTAATATGACGAGAAACGACATCATAAACCCATCGCGTGAGATCTTAGCAGACGATAGCAGACGATCAGTTAGGTGATTAATGGCCAAGGTGACGCCCCCTCAGGGCAGCCCCAGGGGTAACTCAATTGGTAATTTGAACATATACTGAACGCCAGTGGACTGCTTGAAATTTTGTTACGCCTAGCCAGTCTCCTCTTTTAATTTGATCCGAAGATCGACTAGCGCTGGTCGAAAGCTTCTCTAAAAAAAATTGCCCTTTTAGCTTAGCCTGCGAACAACAGACGCATTTCCGGTCGTCGCTTCTCTCCCTCAGAAAAATAGCGTCTGCTGTTCGCAGGCTATTTTAACTGCGCTGCGGTAACCAATCGCATCTACCAACTCGATCCGGTCTGATAGAGCCAAATCTTTACGGTTCGAGACGCTGTGTCGGCTTTTGAATCATTTCATGGTGGTGTAAAAATAAATTTAAATTGCTCGGTTGATAAAAGTGCAAATTAAATCAGTTCACTTTCACTCCCCCACCGGCTCGGCAAAAGGTAGAGATACTTTCAAAAGTAACCCCTACTTTCAAAAGGATTGACCGAGTTTCGATAGCACTACTGAATAGCTCAAGTATGAATGGGATGTTTCGCGGGGTGTAACATGCAAAAATTATTTGGGGTTCTATTGTGTTGTCTCCTAGTTATTATCGATTGTCTTCTGAAGCTTTTGTTTCCGTTACTTTCGGCCCAAGGTTAACAGTTTTCAAGCGATAAACTTTGGCAGGTGGAATGAGTGACAGCATGTGGTAAGGGAAGGGAGGGAGGAGGCATCAATCAGGGAATGTTTCTGGACTTTAACTGTAGTAATGATGATTTAAGTTAGCTGCCGTAGGCGTATAAATCTACACAACATACCAACTGACTATCGCATTGAAAGATGTCATGAATCTTTTTACTTATATGGTTTATAGAAGTAAAACATTGAATATTTCTGATGAGAATGGAATTTTTTTGCACGCAAATAATAGTAATAATTTAGTACAACTGTCAGGAATTGAGTAAACCCCTTTTTGATGTCTAACGACTAAGAGGAAGAGGCGTGATTGCTTCTTAACGGTTTATTTCCTAGAGGTATACCCCATGGGCGCCCTTACTTGTAGTGTTGGAGCCTGTTGGAGGCTCTCAAATAGTGGGGAAGGCGCGAAAGAGGCGGGCGCGGGCCGCCCCTCCTCTCCCCAGTTTCCTCCCGTTGTTTTTTTCTGGTTTGCTCTTTCTCAATTCTGCGGACCAGACTATCTAGGTGCCTGGAACAGGCTAGTAGTGTTGCAAAGAGGAGTCGGATAATAGTGGTGGCATAGCGACGTCATGGACGATCGAACAGACTTGATATTGTAAACGCCTTGTCAATACGTTTTTCAGGATCCGCGCGGGAATGCCTTACTTGATCATGAAGGCCGCCGGGATCATTTTTCAGTAATCTTTCCTCAAAATGGGCAAGCGAAGTGAGCACCACGGTGGGGTTGATAAAAAACATCTTACGATTAAGGGAACTCGTAAGTAACTGTTATTTCAAAACAACAGGTTATTGTTCCAGAATAAAAGTTAAGAGCACTCTTATCTTAAGAAGGTTTTATGCAACCTAACCCAGGCCCCAGTTTTTGAAACGTTGAATAGCGCTATCCACCAGATAAATCAGTGTTCAGCCGTCAAGTTTTAGGAAAACCAATCACGTTATTCACTGGATAGAGAGATCTATCCCCTGCATACTGCGCTATCAAACGTTTGCACAACCGAGGCTAGAGCTTGCCTGGCCTGTGGAAAGACGGGCCTCCTCTCCGTGGAGATCTGGAAACTTGTTTGCACCCCAGAAGTCCTTGCGAAATATTTATCATGGCGGCAAGGCGCTTGTTTCAAAACAGCTGAAAAATCGTCCAAATTTCGGTCTTCATCTTCTAAAAAGGAAAAAGGAAATACGATGAACAATGTGGACAGGCTAGAAGTTCATCCTCGAATTATTGCAGCCCTCAAGAAGGGTAAGAGATACGTGAATACGTGGATACGCAGTCACTACGTATGCACGTATCCGCGTATCCACGTATCCACTTAGTAAATAGTCACTGCGTATCCGTGTATCCACTTAGAAACACACTTAAGACAGCGTATAAAGCTTATAGCAAGCTTATGTCTATTTGTTGTTCTTAAAGCCACTGAAGGTAGAAAAGCGCATAAAAGGGATAACTGCGTATCCACGTATCCAGCTCTTTCAGGGATACAGCTTCAAAGTGGCAGGGTATTCTGCAGTTAAGAGCAATCGATCGATGGAAAGTTTTCTGTGCTTCTCAGTGAAAATTCATGATCATTCACTATGTTTACACTATAAGAAAGAAGCTTTCGTCATAGTGGAGCTGCACTTGTGAAACAGCCGTGGGGTAACAGCTTGCCTTTGGTGGGATGATTACCCAAGGGCAGCCCCGGGCTTTTCACCCGCGTTCGAAGAGTGGGTGGGGGGTATTTGCCCTCTTCCTACATCCTAAGCACCTTAAGTGGCCTCAATCCCCTGAGAATTTGCCATGTGGAAAAAGGCTTAAGTAAGTAAGCCCAGGAGGCAAGATGGGTGCAGCTGACCAATGCAATAATTTTTGTTGCCCAGCCAATTTGCTAGAATAGAATTATCATTATTTTAATCTGGAATATATCTATATTTTTTCAAGCAAAGTTGACAAGTCTTGCCACCCTCCTCTGCATGTCAGCAGCTGATCTTGAGAGAGCCACAAAGCTATCTTTCTTTGACATCGCCATTCTTCTTAAAGCTGTTTCATATTCTCTCCCATGTCCACCTATGAGAACTGCCCTGTCACTTTACAACATTCAGGCCAAAGGCGAGGGGTCACCTTGGGGACACAAGTTGTCTCTAGGATGCCAGATACTTGATGAATTTCTTCATGGGGGCATCCTGAAGCAGGGCATCACAGAGGTGACAGGAGAGAGCTCCTGTGGAAAAACACAGATCTGCTTGCAGTTGTGCCTGACAGTCCAGTTACCTGAGGAAAAAGGAGGGCTTGAAGGAGGTATTTATTATAATAAAATATTATTATTAGTAATAACCAAAGGTTAATGTAAGTTTGACGTGATAGATGGTCAAACAGCGTGCAAAGACAGTTGTGTTTGATAACCCTGGGCTAGTAGATTTTGCTATCAGGCTAGTGATTTTTGTTCGTAACTTGCCTGACAGGCAAGTGCTATTTTTTGGGGAAATTCAAATTACTGAAGGATTGTCATCAATCCTACTAATCAAAAAGGGTTTGGGGCTAGTTGAAATGACTTGAGGGCTAGTACATTCCAGCTACAGCTTGCCTGAATGGCAGGCTGTAAAACTGACTTGCTTTGCACCCTGTCAAATCACATGTGATCATATTACTGGTGACAGAAGGTCCAAATTTGCACGATCAGATTGTGTTCTGTGCATTCCAGTCATTCTTAGAGGGCCTCTTAGGGAGGGTACATATTTCTCTAACCTCAATTTCAAATATGATCATTTCACACTTTGCGGAGTAGGCTATGTCCTTGTCGGTATTTAACCCATGTTCATGCTGTCTGTTGGCATTTTATCTAGTCTTCTGTCACTGTTTCAGGGCCGTGTCACCTGTGGGAATTTTTACCCTAACAGGACCTCTTCCTAGAGGGAGTCCAAATGAAACTGGCTACAAACATGACGTGCATGCGTAATAGTAACCTGGAGATTAGGATTGTGGGCTCTTCTTGTTACCCACATTGAACCTTTAGTAGCAGTCAACTTCCATTTCTTATAATTATATCGCTGTTAATCAAACATTGAGCTCATGATTAAATGAATGTTCATGATCATTTATAAAAGACAAAATGTCCCCATCCTCAATACCTTATGTTATTTAACTGTAAAGAAAAGAAATGTAATTTAATTTTAAAAGTAAAAAATCAATGGTCTTAGGTGTTTCTAGCTGATATGGCCTAGTTTTATAGTCCTCTGATTGAATTGTTTTAATTTATAAAAGGTTCTCACTGAAGCTTGCACTTCCCCCATATAGGGGCAGTTTATATCTCAACTGAGGATGTTTTTCCAAGTAAACGACTCCATCAGCTTACACAGTGTTTTGCCAAAAATCAAGCATCACATCCTTCAGCTGTTAAAATCAACTTTAGTGACAATGTTTTTATTGAACATGCAGCTGATGTGGTAAGTCCCAAAATCAATCAATCGAACATCATGGCTTTAGAGATATACTTGCTGAGCTGCAACTGTTTTCAGAATGTTACTTGCAGGGTATAGAATGGAATGTTAGAGACTTTGCCAGACTGGTTTCAAAATTTGAGACTGAGTCTTTAAAAAAATTTAATACTCCGAAACACAAAATCACCTGACAACGAGACTTCAAGACCTACCTCAAATGCTTCCAACTTTTGAGATCGGGTCAAAATTTTCCAAGAACCACACTTTTACTATGAATGTATTATTATGTATAAACTGTGCTATTGAGCCTTTGAGGATAGTGGTGGTGGTGGTAATGGTGGGGGAGGGGGGGGAGGGGTAATGAAGGTATATTTGCTTGGAGTGTGCAGTTTAAGACACAACCCTTTCAATTGGCTACCCAGTTATTACAAAAAGACCTTAATATGTTTATATGCGGCTCAAGACACTAGAAAGTGAAAAATTGTATGCCCTGTGTAATTGAGACTGTATAATTTTAAAAGACTCAAGGCCCTGACAACCACACCCTTTTTGGCAGCAGTTAACTTGTTGATCCAAATAGCGGGTGCCCCTCCTTGCAGGACTGAGCCTCCTGTAATTTAGTAATCAGTTAAGCCCTTCCAATCCCCACAAAACCACAAAAGACATGGTGATGCCATTCAGGTTAGATTCACATAAATTGCATCTTGATCTGATCTTCTCAAACTCATTAATAATTCATAAAGAAAATACTTAGGAAATTAATGTTAAATCAGTGTATGAAAATCAGATGAAAAACTGCTTATTTTTGCATCCTTAAATTCTCCTTCAAAAAACATGTTGTTTGAGAAGTAATATCAAGCATTCAACACAGCGTTTCATAACCTGATGAAACACCTCAAAGTTCCTCAAAAATACTCCCCAGTGCATCCTATTTTCAACTCTCTTCTCAGCATTTCATCTGGTGATGAAACACTGCATCTCACGCTTGATATATTGCTTCCTGAAGGCTTGAAATTGGATAAGCCCTTTGTGGTTAAGTAACAATTAATTACAGCATATTTCTTAATAATACAGGATGACTTGAGGAACATCATTAACCATCGCCTACCGGTGCTGCTTAATAGGGGAGCTATCAAGCTTGTTGTCATTGATTCCATTGCCGCTCTTTGCCGTGTGGAATATTCATTTGGTGAAACTTCAAAGCGAGCAAATGTTCTTAGGTCATTTGGAGCACAGCTTCACAAGCTTAGTGCGCAGTATGCTATTCCTGTGGTGTGTGTAAACCAGGTATGTTGGTAGACCTGTGGTTTACTTATTTCTTTCCTCACCTTGTTGGCATTAGCATTTTAAACAAAACTATCATAAACACAACAAGACGCTGTGGGAGCGTATATTTGGGAATCGATGTACTTGGCGTGTGTGAAGTTTTTTATGTGAATGAGGAATGTGTGAGTAGTGCACTGCAGCAGTTGGTTGGGATGCGTGGAATGGAAGGCGAGACTCAGTACTGGAGTTATATTGGACGTGAATTAGTAAGATAATGCCTGTAGTTTGTTAATCAGAGAAACTTGTTTCTCGCGGAATTTAATGTGAAGTAACAAAAAATAATTAATATGGGAGGTAAAAGTGATTTTAGTTGTAGCAGTGAGGTAGTTGTGAAGTGATAATTTGGTTATGAAGGGATAGTGTAGTTACAGTACGTTGAAAGAAAGTGGTGGTTATGAAAAGTCTTATCAGTAGTCGAAAACATACTAGTACTTATTTTAAACGTTGTTAGGCTCGCTTATTAGCATCGTTTCTAATCGGTAGATAACTAGATCTGTGAATCAATAAATCGCTAGATCGGTGGATCGCCAGATCGGGGGATCTGTAGCTCGATGGATTGGTAGATCGTTAGATATGTGGATCTGTAGATCGGTAGATCAGTGGATCTGTAGATCGATGGATCGGTAGATCGTTAGGTCGGTGGATCACTAGATCGCTAGATCGGTGGATCAGTGGATCGCTAGATCGTTGGATCTGGAGATCGATGGATCGGCAGATCGGTAGATCGGTGGATCGGTAGATCGCTGGGTCGGTGAATCGCTAGATCGATGGATCGGTAGATCGACGAATCGGTGGATCGCTAGATCGGGGGATCTGAAGCTGAATAGATCGGTAAATCGCCAGATCGGTGAATCGGTAGATTCATGGCTCGGTAAGTGAATCGCTGGGTCGGTAGATCGGTGGATCTGTAGATCGCTAGGAGAGTGGATCTGTAGATCGGTGAACCGGTTGATGGCTATATCGGTTGGGGTCATGTAGATCGGATCTCTACATCGGCAGATCGCTAGATCGCGTGATCTGTCGCTCGATGGATCGGTAGATCGCTGGATCGCTGGATCGCTAGATCGGTGGATCTGTAGATCGATGAATTAGTAGATCGTTTGATCGGTGGATCTGTAGATCGATGGATCGCCAGATCGCAAGACCTGTGGATCGGGAGATCGTTAGGTCGGTGGATCGGAAAATGCTAGATTGATGAATCGCTAGCTCGGTGGATCGATAGATCGATGGATCGGTAGATGGCTAGCTCAGTGGATAAGTGGATCTGTAGATGGATGAATCGGTAGATGAGTAGATCGCTAGATCCATGGATTGGTAGATCGGTGGATCGCTAGTTCTGTGGATCTGTAGATCGCTAGATTGGTGAATCGCTAAATCTGTGAATCTGTAGATCGATAGATAGACAGATCGCTAGATCGATGGATCGGTAGATCGCTAGATGGATGGATCGGTAGATCGATTGATCGCTAGATGGATGGATCGGTAAATCAGTAGATCTCTGGGTGGGGGGATCGTTAGATCGGTTGATCGATAGATAGATGGATCGGTAGATCAATGGATCGCTAGATCGCTAGATGGATGGATCGGTAGATCGCTAGATCTCTGGATGGGGGAATCGTTAGATCGGTGGATCGATAGATTGCTAGATCGGTGGATGGGTAGATTGCTAGATCGGTGGATCAGTGGATCGGGGGATCTGTAGATCGATGGATCGGTTGATCAATGGATCGCTAGATCTTTGGATGGGGGATCGTTAGATCGGTGGATCGCTAGATCGGTTGATCGGTTGATCTGTAGATCGCAAGATGGGTGGATCTGTAGATCTTTAGATCGGTGGATCGATTGATCGCTATATCGGTTAGGGTTATGTAGATGGATAGATCGGTAGATCACTAGATCGGTGGATCGGTAGATCGGTGGGCCTGTAGATCGGCACATCGTTAGATCGGGGGATCTGTAGCTCGATGGATTTGTAGATTGCTAGATCGGTGGATCTGTAGATCGATGAATTGCTAGATCGTTTGATCAGTGAATCAGTAGATCTGTAGATCGCTAGATTAGTGAATCGCTAGATCGGTGCATCGCTAGGTCGATGGATCGGCAGATCGATAGATCGGTAGATTGCTAGATCGGTGGATCAGTGGATCTGTAGATGGATGTATCGGTAGATCGGTGGATCGCTAGATCCATGGATCGGTAGATCGCTAGTTCTTTGGATCTGTAGATCGCTAGATCGGTATATCGCTGGATTGGTGGATCGTTAGATCGGTGGATCTGTAGATCGATGGATCGGCAGATCGCTAGATGAATGGATCGGTAGATCGATTGATCGCTAGATGGATGGATCGGTAAATCGTTAGATCTCTGGATGGGGGGATCGTTAGATCGGTGGATCGATAGATCGATGGATCGGTAGATTGCTAGATTAGTGGATCAGTGGATCGCTAGATCCGTGGATCTGTAGATCGATGGATCGGCAGATCACTAGATCGCTAGATGGATGAATCGGTGGATCGGTTGATCTGTAGATCCGTTTATCGCTTAATCGGTTAGGGCTATGGAGATCAATATGATTGATCGGTAGATCACTAGATCGGCGGATCGATAGATCGGTGGATCTGTAGATCGACAGATCGCTAGATCGGGGGATCTGTAGCTCGATCGATCGGTAGATCGCTAAATAGGTGGATCGCTGAATCGCTAGACGGTGGATCTGTAGATCGATGAATCGATAGATCGTTTGATCAGTAGATCTGTAGATCGATGAATCGGTAGATCGTTTGATGGGTGGATCAGTGGATGGGGGGATCGTTAGATCAGTGGATCGGTAGGTCGATGGATCGGTAGATTGCTAGATCGGTGGATCAGTAAATAGATAGATCGCTAGATCGGTGAATTTGTAGATCGATGGATCAGTAGATTCCTACATCGGTGGATCGCTAGATCGGTGGATCTGAGATCGATGGATCGGTAGGTCTGTGGATCTGTAGATCGATGGATTGGCAGATCAGTAGATCGATGGATTGGTAGATCGCTACATGGATGGATCGGTAGGTGGCTAGATCGATGGATCGGTAGATCTGTAAATCTCTAAGTGGGGGATCGTTAGATCGGTTGAGCAGTAGATCGGCAGATCAATAGATCAGTGGATCTGTAGATCGACAGATCGCTAGATCGGGGGATCTGTAGCTCGATGGATCGGTAGATCGGATGGGTGGTTCGATGGATCGCTAGATTGATGGATCGGTAGATCGGTTCGTCACTGGATGGGGGGATCGTTAGATCGCTAGAACGGTGGATCGGTAGATCGCTAGATCCGTGGATCTGTAGGTCGATGGATTGGTAGATCGGTGGATCTGTTAATCGATGGATCGGCAGATCGCTAGATCGATGGATCGGTAGATCGCTGGATCGCCAGATCGCTAGATGGATGGATTGGTAGATTGCTAGATCTCTTGATGGGGAATTGTTAGATCGCTGGATCGCTGGATCGCTAGATCGGTGGATCTGTAGATCGATCAATTAGTAGATCGTTTGATCGGTGGACCTGTAGATCGATGGATCGCCAGATCGCAAGATCTGTGGATCAGGGAATCGTTAGGTCGGTGGATCGGTAGATGCTAGATTGATGAATCGCTAGCTCGGTGGATTGCTAGATCGATGGATCGGTAGATGTCTAGATCAGTGGATCAGTGGATCTGTAGATGGATGAATCGGTAGATCAGTAGATCGCTAGATCCATGGATTGGTAGATCGGTGGATCGCTAGTTCTGTGGGTCTGTAGATCGCTAGATTGGTGGATCGCTAAATCTGTGAATCTGTAGATCAAAAGATAGACACATCGCTAGGTCGGTGGATCTGTAGATCGATAGATCGGTAAATCGCTAGATGGATGGATCGGTAGATCAGTAGATCGCTAGATCCATGGATTGGTAGATCGGTCGATCGCTAGTTCTGTGGATCTGTAGATCGCTGGATGGTGGATCGCTAAATCTGTGAATCTGTAGATCGATAGATAGACAGATCGCTAGATCGGTGGATCTGTAGATTGATGGATCGGTAGATCGGTACGTCGCTGGATGGGGGGATCGTTAGATCGCTAGAACGGTGGATCGGTAGATCGGTGGATCTGTTGATCGATGGATCGGCAGATCGCTAGATCGATGGATCGGTAGATCGCTGGATCGCCAGATCGCTAGATGGATGGATTGGTAGATTGCTAGATCTCTTGATGGGGAATTGTTAGATCGCTGGATCGCTGGATCGCTAGATCGGTGGATCTGTAGATCGATCAATTAGTAGATCGTTTGATCGGTGGACCTGTGGATCGGGGAATCGTTAGGTCGGCGGATCGGTAGATGCTAGATTGATGAATCGCTAGCTCGGTGGATCGCTAGATCGATGGATCGGTAGATGTCTAGATCAGTGGATCAGTGGATCTGTAGATGGATGAATCGGTAGATCAGTAGATTGCTAGATCCATGGATTGGTAGATCGGTGGATCGCTAGTTCTGTGGGTCTGTTGATCGCTAGATTGGTGGATCGCTAAATCTGTGAATCTGTAGATCGCTAGATCCACGAATTGGTAGATCGGTGGATCGCTAGTTCTGTGGATCTGTAGATCGCTGGATGGTGGATCGCTTAATCTGTGAATCTGTAGATCGATAGATAGACAGATCGCTAGATCGGTGGATCTGTAGATCGATGGATCGGTAGATCGCTAGATGGATGGATCGGTAGATCGATTGATCGCTAGATGGATGGATCGGTAAATCAGTAGATCTCTGGGTGGGGGGATCGTTAGATCGGTTGATTGGTAGATCGGTTGATCGATAGATAGATGGATCGGTAGATCAATGGATCTTTTTTTTTTTTTTTTTTATTTTTATTTTTGCCTTACAGACATATATTAAATGTTTACAGTACTAAACACTACTGAAACTAAATACTACTAACAATATTCACTATACTTGCACTATTTACAATATTGGCTATACTGACAATACCATCCATACGATGCTCGTACTACTAATAATTACAATGGTTACACTACTTACAATTCTAGTACATCACACACACACACACACCCCCACATAAACACACACACAAAAAAAAAAAAAAAAAAAAAAGAGGTCAGAGGAGTTACTTTTCATGTCTATTTTATAGCTTTTCAATTCTGTATTTAATTATCATTTTACCAACGAAGTCTTGGAGGAGAATTGGTTTGTTGTGTAGTTTGTTGGCGTAGATGTAGTATCTCATAAACAACATGGTATAATTGAATTTCCTTACTAGTACCTTTTCATGTAAGTCCGAGAGGATGCCGAACAGTCTTTCTTCGCTAGATGGGTTGAGATTGATCTTGTTTTCTATATTGAACCAGTTGATAACCCGTTGAATGAAAATCTTGACGAAATGACAATCTCTAAAAGTATGATTAATAGAGTCTTTTTCACCACAATATATACATTCATCATCTTCCTTGATTCCATAGCGGTAAAGTTCCTTTTTGGTGACTACAATTCGGTGGATTAATTTATATTGAAATTCCTTTAATTTGGTCTCTCTACAGACGGTTTTTAGGGAGGTGAATATTTTTTCCCATTTATCTTCATCCAAGGAAAGATCTTTGCTCCATCTCTGTGGCCCAGAATGACCTGTTGTGTGGATTTTTGTGCATAATAACCTACAGAAGTCGCTAGTCTTGATTTTGTTCAGATATAGAGTTATCGATTCATTTAATTGTAGACTAAGATTATTATCAGAATATAACTCTTTATTAATTGGCTTCGTTGATTTTGCTTTGGCTAATAGGTGCTTTGGGATAGCGCTAATAACTTGATAGTATTGAAGGAAGTTAGTTTTACAGGAATACTTATTCGTAAATTCCTGATAGGTCATCGGTTGACCGGTATTGTTTAAGAGATCTTGTATTGACAGGATACCTTTTTTAAACCATTCCCTGATAAAAAAGGTTTTACTGTCAACAAGTATTTCTTTGTTGTTGAATAGAATTATATTTTGTGCTTGATCAAAGCTGTACAGAGTTTTTAATTCACTGAAGTATACTAGAATATTTCGGTAAAACAATGGAATAGATTTTATGTATTTCGCATCATAGATACATCTCAGTAAAAAGTTCAAACCTCCGAATTTTCTTAGGTAATAATCAGGAACTGTTTTCCAATTCTGGTTCCCTGGAGTCAGTAATCTTGGAATCCAGGCTAGTTTTAGAGCTTTAAACATTATGTCGATGTCTACCATACGTATTCCGCCTCTTCCCAGATCCTGATAGAGCCCAGTTCGTTTAATTTTATCCCTTTTGTTTTTCCATAAGAAACTAAAAAACTTTGTTTTCACTGTGCTTGCGATATCTTCGGGAACATTAAGAATTGAAGCTGAATAAATTAGTTGTGACAATCCTAGGGACTTAATTATCAGTACCTTCCCAAATAGTGTGAGGTCTCTAGATCTCCACATATCCAGCTTTGTTTGAAGTTTTCGTATTTTCAGATTAAAGTTCAATTCATTGTTACCCTTCTCATCATAAGAGACATGAATTCCTAAGAGGCGAGTCGGACTATGTAACCATTTTAGTTGTAAAGGATAACTTTTGTTTTTTTCCCATTTTCCCAACCAAATTGCTTTCGATTTCTTTATGTTTAACTTGAGACCCGCTAGCCTCCCAAAATCTCCCACCGTTTTCAAAGCATTTTCAACGGAGATCAAATCTGCACAGAAAAGGTTTGTGTCGTCTGCGAATTGGCTCAATTTGATTTCGTGCCCGAATATTTTGATTCCTGTTATACTTGGTTCTTGTCTGATTTTGCTGGATAATATCTCCGTGGAAAGCACAAATAAGTACGGAGAAAGGGGACACCCCTGTCGAACTCCTCTTGACGGTCTAAACCAGTTGGTCATGAAACCATTGTTTATCGCCGCGCTCTCATTTTTTGTATAGAATGTACTGATCCATCTTTTTATACTTGTTCCGAAATTGAAGATATCCAGTGCTTTCATCATGAACGACCATTCTAGAGAATCAAAAGCTTTCCGAAAATCTAGAGATACTAGAATGCCAGGTATGCTTTCTGACTTCGTATGTTCCATTATGTCGATTATTAGCCTAATATTTTCCCCGATATATCTTCCTTTGATAAAACCGGTTTGATCAGTGTGCACTAGATTTGGTAATAATGGTTCTATTCTCCTTGCTATTGCCTTAGTTGCTATCTTGCAATCAACATTTAGCAGTGTTACCGGTCTCCAGTTTGAAAGTTCTAGTAGCGAGCCAACTTCTTTGGGAATTAAAGTAATAACGCCTCTTCGTTGTGAAATGGTGAGTTCATTTGCATCATAGGCCGCATTGAAACTAGCAACAAGATCGTGTCCTAGCAGATCGAAAAAAACATATAAAATTCAACCGTGAAACCATCTTCTCCTGGAGCTTTGTTGTTTTGAAAAGTGTCTAAAGCTTTTTTTTTGCATTCTTCATAAGATAATGGACCTTCTATTCTATCTCTGTCTGCATCTGATAGTTTTGGAATTTTTAAATGTTCGGTGAATTCATCAACATTATTTTCCTGTGAATTATTTGCTGATGCGTACAATTCGCTATAATAGTTTTCGATAGCTTCTAATATCTGAGACTCGTTGTTTGTTACTGTTTCACTTTCTGTTCGCAGTTCAGTGATGGTTTTCCTGTTGTAGTTTCTTTTCTCCAGATTGAAAAAGTACTTTGTTGGACGTTCGCCCTTTTCGACCCATCGACATTTCGATCTAAAAATAGCTGCCCTCCCTTTCTCCTCATAAATAGATTGGAGTTCCCTTTTGAGATCTTCATATTCATTTAGGATGTGCGCCATATTGGGAGAGTTAAAGTTGTCGCAAATATTGCGGTCCAGAATTTCGAGCTGTCTCCTAATTTCCAATTCTCTATTAGTGGTCGCTTTAGCTTTCTTTTTACTATAAGCAATGGTTGCCGCTCTGGTTTCCATTTTTAACATTTCCCAAAGAAGGCGTGCGTCTGTCAAATTGGAGTAAAAAGCGCGTGTGCGGGAGTACGTTTCACGGATTTTGGACACATAATGTTCATCTTTCAGTAACGTGTTGTTGAATTTCCAAAGTCCGGGTCCTCTAGACTTTTCAGTTGTCCAAGACAAAGAAATGTAAATTGCTCGGTGATCCGGTGCTATAGAAGGATAAATTTCGCTTTTCTTCACATGTTGTGTCAGATTTTTGGCAACTAGGAAAAAGTCTATTCTGGATTTCAGTTTTAACACTTTTGATTCATAAGAGTATTTACGTAGCCTCGGGTGACGTAATCTTTGAATATCTACGAGATCGAAAGCGTCCATAGTTGTCAAAATCAGGTTTCGATAATTTGTTGGTTTCCAAATTGTGCCACCAATTTTATCTATCTTTGATAGTGTGCAATTCCAGTCGCCTCCTACAATAAGCGTGGAAATTTCTGACTTGTCGATAAGGCAATTGTTTAAGTTTTGTAAGAAATCTAATTGTTCACTTTGGCTATTCGGGGCATAAATATTCACCAGTGATAATTTTAGAGAATTCAGAACACAAGTAATTAGCACGATTCTTCCAGCCTTGTCGCTGAATGAGTAATCGATCTTATTTTGTACCGTAGGGTGTAAAAGAATGCAAACACCTTTACTATGCCTGGATCCGTGAGAGAAAAATATTTCACCTCCCCATTCGTTTTTCCAAATAATTTCATCTTCTGGTTGAGAGTAAGTTTCTTGCAAGAAATAAATTTTTGAGTTATGATCTTTGAGATATAGAAAAATGCTCCTCCGTTTGGCTTGATCTCTTATTCCCCTTACGTTTAGAGAAAGTATATCGTATTTTGCTTTCTCTTGCATTACAATAAAAAAACAAACAAAAAAAAAAAAAACAAGAAAAAATATATGCAAATTTAAAAAAAAAAAAAAAATACAGAAGCAAACAAAACTAAAATTATACAAAACGTAAATTAAAGTAGTTTTTGAGCGTTTCCCTTCTTCTTCTCCGAACTTTGCGTTTTTTGTTCCTGTCCCAAATGTAAGTTACAGTTTTTGTCTTCCTTGGCCGATTGGACATTTAAAGATAATCTAAGTCTTCCAGCTCGTTAATTCTGACCGGCTTACCCTGCGGAGAGGTCTTGACATATATTGATCCATCCATTGACCAGACACTCAACAATTCATCATTTCTCCGCATCTCGTTTGCGCGATTCATTATTTTTTTCCTGTACGAGGTAAGATTCTCGTTTAAAAAAATTCTGTCGGCTTGCACTAGAGTTGACGATGAGCACTGCGGGAAGATGTTAGAAACTCTGACATTTTTTAGCTTAGCCCTAGCCCTGTATAGATTTGTTTTGACCTTGTGGCTTATAAATTTTACAATAATTGGTTTGTTACCCTTCCTGTTCAGCTTGTGACATATTTCGATATCCTTTGGTTCCACCGATACATCTAGGGCCTCCGCTAATTTTAACACCACATCTTCCGTCTCGGTGTAAGCGCATTCTGGTACACCATGTATTTCTATTGAGTTTTTCCTCGTGTATTGTTCTAGTTTGTCTTGAAGATCGTACAATTCACCAATTTCTTCTTCCTGCTCTTGAATTTTCTTTCTTGCTGCCACCAGCTCGCGTTCTACCTCGTTGTACTGCTTCGTTATATGTTCTAGAGATGATTTCAACGCAGTTATATCGTCTGTTTGATGTTGAATTGTGCGCTTGAGATCGGTCATTTCGCTTCTGATTGTTTTGTTTTCGCGTAGGATAGTTGCAGTATTTATTTGAATGTCTAGCAACATCTCCCTTAGTTCAGCATTACTGGGCTCACCTTCGGCGTTTATTGCTTCATTTGTCGCTTCCACTAACTCCGCGGCCTCTTCCTCTTGACATTCCGCCATGTTGGCTCTTTTAAGTGTCGATGGTTCTTCTTCCTCCACTGATCCTCGAGCTCCTCGTTTGTGTTTTCCTCCTAATTTCTGCATTTAATACTTCAGCAAGTGTTTAAACGTTGAATTATTATGTCAAGGCGGTATAAACTTCTCTAAAATTGGCGTAAAGGGACAGAAACTACGCTCCTCACAAAACGTGCCACCGCACACCGACCCCACGCATGCTCTCCAGATCAATGGATCGCTAGATCGCTAGATGCATGGATCGGTAGATCGCTAGATCTCTGGATGGGGGAATCGTTAGATCGGTGGAACGATAGATTGCTAGATCGGTGGATGGGTAGATTGCTAGATCGGTGGATCAGTGGATCGGGGGATCTGTAGATCGATGGATCGGTAGATCAATGGATCGCTAGATCGCTAGATGGATGGATCGGTAGATCGCTAGATCTCTAGATGGGGGAATCGTTAGATCGGTGGATCGATAGATTGCTAGATCGGTGGATGGGTAGATTGCTAGATCGGTGGATCAGTGGATCGGGGGATCTGTAGATCGATGGATCGGTAGATCAATGGATCGCTAGATCTTCGGATGGGGATCGTTAGATCGCTAGATCTTCGGATGGGGGATCGTTAGATCGGTGGATCGCTAGATCGGTAGATCAGTTGATCTGTAGATCGCAAGATGGGTGGATCTGTAGATCTTTAGATTGGTGGATCGATTGATCGCTATATCGGTAAGGGTTATGTAGATCGATGGATCGGTAGATCACTAGATCGGTGGATCGTTAGATCGGTGGGCCTGTAGATCGGCACATCGCTAGATCGGGAGATCTGTAGCTCGATGGATTGGTAGATTGCTAGATCGGTGGATCTGTAGATCGATGAATTGCTAGATCGTTTGATCAGTGAATCACTAGATCTGTAGATCGCTAGATTAGTGAATCGCTAGATAGGTGCATTGCTAGATCGATGGATCGGTAGATTGCTAGATCGGTGGATCAGTGGATCTGTAGATGGATGTATCGGTAGATCGGTGGATCGCTAGATCCATGGCTCGGTGGATCGCTAGTTCTTTGGATCTGTAGATCGCTAGATCGGTATATCGCTGGATTGGTGGATCGTTAGATCGGTGGATCTGTAGATCGATTTAACTTCAGATCGCTAGTTGGATGGATCTGTAGATCGATTGATCGCTAGATGGATGGATCGGTAAATCGTTAGATCTCTGGATGGGGAGATCGTTAGATCGGTGGATCGATAGATCGATGGATCGGTAGATTGCTAGATCAGTGGATCAGTGGATCAGTGGATCGCTAGATCGGTGGATCTGTAGATCGATGGATCGGCAGATCACTAGATCGCTAGATGGATGAATCGGTGGATCGGTTGATCTGTAGATCCGTTTATCGCTTAATCGGTTAGGGTTATGGAGATCAATATGATTGATCGGTAGATCACTAGATCGGCGGATCGATAGATCGGTGGATCTGTAGATCGACAGATCGCTAGATCGGGGGATCTGTAGCTCGATGGATCGGTAGATCGCTAAATAGGTGGATCGCTGAATCGCTAGACGGTGGATCTGCAGATCGATGAATCGGTAGATTGTTTGATCAGTAGATCTGTAGATCGATGAATCGGTAGATCGTTTGATGGGTGGATCAGTGGATGGGGGGATTGTTAGATCAGTGGATCGGTAGGTCGATGGATCGGTAGATTGCTAAATCGGTGGATCAGTAAATAGATAGATCGCTAGATCGATGGATCAGTAGATTCCTACATCGGTGGATCGCTAGATCAGTGGATCTGAGATCGATGGATCGGTAAGTCTGTGGATCTGTAGATCGATGGATTGGCAAATCAGTAGATCGATGGATCGGCAGATCGGTAGATCGCTACATGGATGGATCGGTAGGTGGCTAGATCGATGGATCGGTAGATCTGTAAATCTCTAAGTGGGGGATCGTTAGATCGGTGGAGCAGTAGATCGGCAGATTGCTAGATCGGTAGATCGCTAGATGAGTGGATGTGTAAATCGAGGGATCTGGAGATCGGTGGATCTGTAGATCGATGGCTCGCCAGATCGCTAAATCTGTGGATCAGGGGATCGTTAGGTCGGTGGATCGGTAGATCACTAGATTGGTGAATTGCTAGATCGGTGGATCGCTAGATCGATGGATCGCTAGATCGATGGATCGCGAGATCGATGGAGCGGAAGATTGCTAGATCGGTGGATCAGTTTTTCTGTAGATCGATGGATCTGTAGATTAGTGGATCGCTAGATCCATGGATCGGTAAATCGATGGATCAGTAGATCGGAGGATCGCTAGTTCTGTGGATGCGTAGCTCGCTGGATTGGTGGATCGCTAGATTGGTGGATCTGTAGATCGATGGATCGGTAGATCGCTAGATCGGTGGATCTTTAGATCAATGGATCGGTAGATGGGTAGATCTCTAGATAGATGGATCGGCAGATCGCTAAATCGGTGGATGGGTAGTTCGATGGATGGCTAGATTGATGGATCGGTAGATCGGTACGTCGCTGGATGGCTGGATCGTTAGATCGCTAGAACGGTGGATCGGTAGATCGGCTGCTTGAAGACACTCCAATCTTTTGGGGTGAAGATGGTGCTCTCAATCCACTGCTCCTGGATGTAGTCAGTAAGATTGCGGAGGGGCTGGGTCTGTGCCTGAACGCTGAGGCGCACGAACATCGGTCTGATCTCGTAGTGAGGGAGGAACGGGAGGGCCATGAGTTTCCTGATGAACCGGTACGTTGCTTCATCGTTACTGTATACAGTTTGGAGGCCAAGCTCTTGCACCTAAAAAAGTTAAAATTTGTGCCTTTAAGGAAAACGTACGACTAACGAACGGACTGCTAAAGGTTGACGTTTACGTTCTAACAGTTGTATATATTTGTTTCATAAAAAAGACTCTAACGGTTGACGTTTACGTTCTAACAGTTGTATATATTTGTTTCATAAAAAAGGTTCTAACGGTTGACGTTTACGTTCTAACAGTTGTATATATTTGTTTCATAAAAAAGGCTAAAGCTGTGAAATCACAATTTGTTTAATAAACTTTAATAATCAGTTTATTGCCTTTTATTCACCATTTTTTTCCGCAGCGAAAAAGAGTGCTTGACAGGAACTAACCTTTCTCCACAGAACTGACATATAAGACGTAGGCGAATCGACTCTATTCGTAGGCGAACAGACCGTGGGCGAAACGACCCGTAGGCGAAACGACCGGATACCGGTAGATCAGTGGATCGATAGATCGCTAGATCCGTGGATCTGTAGGTCGATGGATTGGTAGATCGGTGGATCTGTTGATCGATGGATCGGCAGATCGCTAGATCGATGGATCGGTAGATCGCTAGATTGATGGATTGGTAGATTGCTAGATCTCTTGATGGGGAATTGTTAGATCGGTGGATGTTAGATCGGTTGATCGCTAAATCGATGGATTGCTAGATTCATGGATTGGTAGATCACTAGATCGATGGATCGGTGTATTGCTAGTTCTGTGGATCTGTAGATCGATGGATCGGCAGATCGCTAGATCGGTGGATTGGTAGATCGATGGATCGGTAGAACGCTAGATCGGTGGATCGTTGGATCGCTTGGTCGGTGGATGTGTAGATCGATGGATCGGCAGATCGTTAGATCGGTGGATTGGAAGATCGATGAATTGGTAGATCGGTGGATCGATGGATCGGTAGAACGGTAGATCGGTGGATCGTTGGATCGCTTGGTCGGTGGATGTGTAGATCGATGGATAGGCAGATCGTTAGATCGTTAGATCGGTGGATTGGAAGATCGATGAATCGGTAGATGGATTGGTGGATCTGATCGCTCGGCTCGAAGATATTAGCACTTGAGTGCTACACTGTAAATTCGAGGGTAAATAAAGTTTATTGATTGATTGATTGATCGCTAGTTGGTGGATCTGTAGATCGATGGATCGGTAGATCGCTAGATCTGTGGATCTGTAGATCGATGGATCATTTGTAGATCTGCAGAGCGCTGGATCGATGGATCTGTACATCTCTGGATCAGTAGATCGGTGGATCTCTAGAGCGATGGATGGGTGGATCGGTAGGGTGGTGGATCGGTAGATCGATGGATTGGTAGATCGATGGTTCGGTAGATTGCTAGATCGATGGATCGGTAGATTGCTAGATCGATGGATCGGTAGATCGTTGGATCACTAGATCATTAGGTCGTTGGATCGGTAGATCGGTGAATCTGTAGATCCCTGGATCATTAATAGATCTGTAGAGCGATGGATCGGTGAATTGCTTGATCATTGGATCACTAGATCGGTAGTTCGGTGGATCGTTAGATCGGTGGATCTGTAGATGGATGGATCTGTAGATCGGTAGATTAGTAGATCGATGGATCAGTGGATCTTTAGATCCATGTTTCGGTGGATCTGTGGATCAGTAGATTGGTAGATCAGTGGATCGATAGATCGCTAGATCGGTGGATTTGTAAATTAATGGATAAGTAGATCTGTAATTCGGTGGATCACTAGATCGGTGGAGCGGTAGATCAATGGAAGGACAGATCGCTAGATTGGTGGATCGCTGGATCGATGGATCGGTTGGTTCTGTAGATCGGCAGATCACTAGTCCGGCGGATCGCTGTATCGGTTAGGGTTATGTAGATAGATGGATAGGTAGATCTCTTGATCAGTGGATCGGTTTCCAATAGGTTAGTGATTCCAGCAGTGGCAATTGAAATGGGTGGCATAGATGACGTACGGTTAGGGGTATGGTTGAAAACCCCCTCGCTCTGATTTTGACAAAGTTGCTTCACACCTTAGGGTACATGGCTAGTGAACACTCATTAGAAATACCTGTTTAACACGGTCGCCTTACCGGCCGCATTGGTTATTAAGTTGTTCTGATGTTTGAGAGGTGGTACCCCCTCGCTGTCAGATTTGAAGCGCTGAAACAAGCCCCAGAGTTGTTTGTTAGCTCCCATCGAGTCTTCGTCATTTGTCGGGGTAATAATCTCTTCCACATACTGCCAGTATGCGGCACGAAACTTCTTTTGGACTTGATGCTTAATGGTCTTTTAGCGAGGATCCTTTCTTGCGTGTAGCTTATCTCTTTTCCTCATGAGGCGTCTCAATGAGGGGACACATATTGTAGGCCATTTCTTGAGCTCGTAAACCTATGTGGTATGAAACGCTTGATACCAGAGGTCGATTCCTCTCAAAAACTAGACTACAATTCATTTATTGATAGGTCACAGTCAGTAGAATGCACGACAAAGTCTACATATTTAGGCATGTGTTCTTTAAGGCCACCTCAGTCTACTTTTCTATACAAGGGAACCATCCTGCGTTTTTGTGTGTTGATTGTTGCTTTGATATTACCATAAAAAACAGCATCATGATCACTAATAGCTGGGATGACGTGAGTTCTTTATTATAGGACTGTCGTTTTTAGTTACAAACAAGTCTAAGTCATTTTTACCCCACGTAAGATTGGTTAGATCAGTAGATCTGTAGGTCAGTAGATCAGTAAATCTGTTGGATAGGTGGATCGCTTGATCGGTGGATCTGTAGATCGATGGATAAGTAAGTCTGTAAATCGGTGGATCGCTAGATCGTTGAATCTGTAGATCAATGGATTAGTAGATCTGTAGTTCGGTGGATCTGTAGTTAGATGGATCGGTAGATCTATGGATCTTCATGTCGGTGGATCTGTAGATCACGCAATATTAGCGGAGCTCCACGCGCGCGCGTGGAGCTCCGCTAATATTGAAATCGAAGGTTAACGAAATTTGGGAGTTCTGATGTAAACATGAATTAATAACTACCTTAGCCTTCACCTAGCCGTGCCCTGCCCTCATGGAGGGGGATAATGCTGTGCCGCTACACAACTACCAACCTACCCCTCCCCAACCTAACCTAACATTTTGCTCCTTAACCCTTCAATTCCCTCAGTGATCAACTTAATTTCGCCCTAACAATATCAATACAAGATCAAGAGAAATGGTTATGATAGTCAATAAAATGACTACCAAAGGAAAACTGCTTTGATCTTTTTATGAAAATTCTCTCAACTAATTCTTTATGGAAATGTATAGACAGGGCAGTTTCCAAGAATCTTATGCACATCCAATCGCATGTTAATTAAGAAAATAATCTACAATGCAGTCAAGCGTACTTCTGATAACCTGGAAAATAAGTACTACCATACTCAATATTCCCTAAATGTTTCACAGGTCTCTGATGTGATCCAAAGTGACAAGAACAGGTATGTTCTAATAATAATAATAATAATAATAATAATAATAATAATAATAATAATAATAATAATAATAATAATTATTATTATTATTATTATTATTATTATAATGATAATAACAATAATGACGATGATGGTGATGGCGATGATGATGAGCTGTAAAACTTCTGATTTCATTTTCTGAAAGAATGTGTTGAATTTGATGACATTAATTCCTTTTCCTTTTTACAGTGGCATCAGTGATGGTAAGCAAAGAAGTGTGATACCTGCCCTTGGCATGGCCTGGTCCAGCATGGTGACGATGCGACTTATGTTATCACGAACAGAGCAACTAATACAACCGCTTAATCAAGCCCTAGATGGAAGGGTAATAAAAAATATACATGTTTTAGTTACGCTATTACGTGAAATTTTCGCGACATGTTAATTTCGCGAAATTAAAGTAACGTGAACAATGAGTGTGGCGAACATAACATGACGCGAAAATTAAGCGACTCACGTTATGTCCATAATCAAGGAAGAACGAGTTTATTACCACAGAAACGTTTACAACTCACACTTTTTACTTTTGTGATGAATTTTCTGAGTAAATGGATGTTGTGGTCAATTAACTCAAGAACAATAATTCACGTACAAGCATGAACTGCTTGTGGACATTGTGAGAACTGCTTGGTTGTTACTGTTGACATTTAGTCCCGCTGTTCGCGTTATCTGAAGATTGACATTATTGTTCCTTTGATAAAGTCGTTTTATTTAATTCAGACATGTTAAATAACATTGTCTATGAAATGTAAGTTGTTCTACTCAAAAACGCGAATTTAAAGTGATTCAAAATATAAAATTGTCCCAAAATCGCGAAATTTAATTGCGCGAAATATGCGCACGCGTCGCGAAAATTTCATGTAATAAGGTAGCCTCTTCCTGTCTCTCAGATAGTCACACAAAGCAAATTAGCAAAGTGACCTTGGAAGGAGACACAATGGAACCTTAATGTAATAAAAGGCCAAGGGGCTGGTGAAATGTGTGTGATAACGAACTTTCATTGAATCGAGGTCCTTTTCCATATAATTTATTTCACTACTAGGTATACTGGGCAAAGATTATTGATCATTAATAATTATATCGAGGCCTTCGTTACACAGGGGATCATTAAATCAAAGTTCCACCGTACTTAGGGAAGAAAGGGCGGATCAGCAATTCTATGGTCATAAATGGTCTGAGTTTGTATCCCCAGGTTGTTGACAGTTGTGGGAGCTTGAGATTAGTGTTCCTTCTCTTCCCTGCTTCACGAGAATTTTTTCTGGGTACTCCCCCCCCCTAAATAAACTCTAAATTCCAATTCCATAACTCGTCAAACAAATTATTAATGCAGCTTAAGGTGTTTTGTACCTGACATGAATTTAAAGCAGTTGCCCTTTTTTAATAAAGCCTATTCTAGAAGTGAAGAAATGAAACTGCTGAGAAGGTACAAACTTCTGTAATACTTTAACATATGAATATTGATTTTCAGTCCTTTTTCCTAAATCTGATCTGTTATCTTTTATTTACAGGACATTGACCCTGTAATCAAAAGACGTCTGAGGGTTATCTTTGCACCGCATCTTCCAAATTCCACATGTTTGTTTTATGTCAGTGGTGATGGTGTCCATGGGTACAAAGAGAACCATCAGGAAAGGGAATAATTCAGGATAATTGTAAGATTCTCCAATCGGTAGACTGAGAAAGGTCAAGTCAAAGAAACATTATCAGTACCAATTCAATGACTGTATTAAAAGAAATAGTTTACTTTAAGTGCTACAATAATAATATTTTTACTCAAAATATGAGTCTGTTCGTTCTGTTGTCTAGTTCAATGCATACAAAAATTAAACTAAGTTAAGGAGAAAAGTCTTAAGAGGAATAACTCCAACATGATTTATTCCCACAGTGCATTATCATTACACCCATGGGAAGATATGGAAGCAGAGAGGATTAGGTCTTTTCTTTACAGTCCTACTTTGAAATGAAATGACAAAAAAGCAGTACTTTTGCCTTGATGCATTTTATTGTTCTGAATTTATAACATTCATTTGATTGTTTTACTTCAGTCTGTCTTCCATTGCTACAACAATAAAGCTGGGCCACTGACTTAAAATCCTGTTTAAGTTACCTGATCGTTACTTTTTTCCTGGAAATTTAAATTTGCAATGAGAGCATGCATGTTACATGTAAACGTAAACAGAAAACAAGGACAAGATAATGTAGAGACCTGGCCCTGAAGTTGATCAAATAATTACATGCATGGCGGGTTTTGAATTTTGCGTGGTCAATTTATTCTCAGGTACTATTGACCTGCATTTACTGAAGATGGAGCCAAAGGGACAAAGAAGTATTAATTCAAGTTAATTGGGTTTAATTGTGAGGTTGCAGAGCTGAGAGCCTGCGAATAATAACTGGAACAATGATTATTATTAAAGCAATATTCACTACACTTCCTTTTAGTAAAATAAATTTATTTGCCATAACTCATTTGATTCCATTAGTGCCATTCTGGGCAAATTGTAATGAAGAGAGAATTAACTTATTCCTATTTAATTATCAAATTAAATAGGAACATTTACTTTACAAAATAATGGGAAAAAAAGCAGAAAAAATTAATATTTACAGTATATCCTCACAGCATAACAAAAAGAACAAAGAAACAGTCATAATAATTCAGTGAGAGAAACAAAACGCAAAACAATCTTTTTGATAATACAATTTCTGAAAGCTCATGTTAGGTTTTTGATTTTAAAGTAATAGAGAGATTTAGAGTCAAATTTATGCCAAATGGCAAACGCGAAATTGTACCATGTGGCCAAGTTTCCCCTGTGATAGTTGTTTACTGTTAATTACTTCTACACAAAAATGAGTGGTTTCACGTCAGTTTTATCCATAAAAATTGCTCTGGACACTTTTTATTTGCTTATTTTCTATTTTAAGAAATTCTTAACTTGAAGCTGTAGATGTGACTCTAAATCTCTCTAATAAGAGAGGTACTATGATCATTGTGTTTCTGACAGTGGCTTGTTGAAAAATGTTTTAAATGTGGCTACGCACCTAAGAGTGATTCAAGCATAAAACAGACCTGGCCCTGGATACAATATTATCCAGTAAATAACATAATAATAAATTGGTTTCTGTAGTCGTTATTTGCTGGAGAGTAATTTGTCAGGTGGATTTTCCATCCAACATTTGAACAACCAGGACCTGCAAATTGAACTTTACCAAAGGAATGTTAAAGTTTTTTTTTTCTTTAAAAAAAAAGTGTTCTCCCTAGGATTTTGAGAAGCCCAGAGGTATCCTGACTGTGATTTTCAACAGTGTTTGTATGAAGCCTGAATAACAATAGACAGCTTAAAAGACTCTTTGACAAGCTTTATTTTTGCTCTGTATATCTTGGGTTGACCAAGTTCTCCATTAATTTTAGATACTCCTCTAAAAGTACGGGATTTTTGTTTAGTACTACATGTAAGCTCCTTGATGGGCCCTTGTGTTTCTGGGACAGTTTCAAGATCACTAGCTTTCAACAAAACAACAGATTGAAGATGTTCATCCAACACTAAATCACTTTCATAATCAAAATTAAATTATTAATTGCAAGAAAACACACAAATACAGTTGTTGTAAAAACACCAGACAATGTTTTATCAACATTTGCGAGTGATTTTTACTGTGAAATACTGGGTTCTAGATGTCATCATAAACTTCCACTGGGTTAAAACTTTGGTTTTTAACCCTTTAATCCCCAATATCCACATACAAATTCTCCAGACTGATCTCTATCCATTTCCTTCAAGAAGGTGTTGAGAGAATTTGGTAGAAGATCAATGCATTTTCTCTTAGGTGATCATTTTATTAACTCTCATAACCATTTCTCTTGGTAACATGGATATTGTTAGGGGAAAATTGATCTTGGTCACTATCGGGACTTGAAGGGTTGAGCCAGGTGTCACTGATTTTCCCACGAACTAAGCCAGGCAGCCCACATAGCCTAAAATACCTAGGGAGTACACTGGAATAAAGAATAATTTGATGCCTGGGATTTGATGGCCCAATTCAAACTCTCAGGAATTGTGCCTTCGTAGAATGAAACCCCACAGTGGTTTGTTTGAGGTACTTCTTGCAACCATTAGTTTAACTATTGTCACTTGTATAAAAGATGAGAAGGGAACAAATCATTATAAGCGTGGTGAGAATTCACCTTTAGCAGAAAATACTAACAATAGGCAACAGATTTTTGCAATTAAGGTCCAAAAATTAATGTACACTTGCTTCATTAAAAAAATAAAGAAAATTAAAAAACTTACTGCACAAAATATGCTGCAGAATGTTTGAACTGCATCCGTTCCACAATAATTTATTATTCTATACAGCACAGTTACTGCTGTTATTTTCACTGAGTTCTTTCCCTCACAAGCATAGCAGTGTGTTGGCCTCCCGCAGAGACTCCTAATACTTCATGCTGATCAGACTGTAAATTCTTTCCTTGTACTTTAGTGGGTAAATACTCATCCTCATCTTCTCCTGTTCCTAGCTGTAGACAACTTCCAAAACCCCAAGAGTACAGGTCACCCTTGCTTGAGACTGCCAAACTGACAGCTTCACCGCAAGCAATCTCAGAAATGGGGCTATTATCGAGCGCAATGACTGGAACAGGTGTAGATGTTTCCTTGGCATCTTCTCCTACCCCAAGCCTTCCATACTCAGCCCTTCCCATTGCATACACCTTTCCTGAGGCATCCAGGACTATAGTGTGGTGCTGACCACTAGCTATTCTGACACATTTGTCCCCTAAAGATGTCAGAGATTCCACCTTTGCTGGAGCATACAATGTCTCAACATCTCCTGTTCCCAGTTGGCCGTAGTTGTTCAAGCCCCAAGCGTAGACGGAGTCATCTTCAGCAACTGCAAAAGTTGAATAGCTCCCACAGAAAACATCTTTAAATTTAAGTTTTTTCCTGTCTCTGACTTGTTTTGGATTGAGAATGTACTGAAGACCCCGCCTTCCGCCTCGACTGGTAAAACAACCCATTATTCTGCCCAACTGTCCTTGCTCGGCACATCCCCAGGTAAAAATATTGCCATTCTTTGTCAGGGCTGCAGTGTGATCATTCCCAGATGCTATTTTCATTACCGGGTTGTTTTGCAGAGCCAAGATCACGGTGGGTTTGTGTTTGATGCCATCTACTTGTAAGCCAACCTGTCCACTTGCATCCTGGAATGGGAAACCCAACAAGTTGGATTTAAGCAAGACAAAAATTTTTTTCTATGCCACTTGCCCATTTGACAAGTAACATTCAAAATTTAGTTTTCCAAAATGAGAGGGACATTGGGGGACTGCAACACTGCAGAAAAAATAACAAACACTACATTACCGTAAAAACACTGACATTGCAATTTAATTTTTGTCCTACGATTAATCTAATTCATTAATCTCCATATAATTGGGGAAGGAGGATCTCGGAGCTGGTTTTGATTTTGCTGAGACTCAGACTGACCTCAAGGTTTTAAGAACCCTATTCAGTAATGCAGAAAAAAGAATTCAGGGTGGCGTGCCTTTTCTTTATCTTTTTTTACCACTGGCGGCAGAAAGCTGCCAGAGCACAGACAAATATATTTCAACTAGTAAATTTTGAGTGAAAAAGATCATTGTCCTTAAGTACTTACCCTGTAAGTGCCCCAGCCAAAGACAGTTCCTTTATCCGACAAAGCCATTGTGTGGCTGTCTCCTGCAGACACCATGACAACCTTGACACTTTCCATGTCTTGAACAATACCAGCGGTAAACTCCTCACCATTATCACTTGATGTGACACGGCCAAGGCCTCCCTCATCATTACAGCCCCATGTGTAGACCTATGTTAAGGAACAAGAGAAAAGAGGGTTTTCTTGCAAAACAAAGATGGTCCAGAACTATAAGCTACATGCACAAAAGAAAAGGCACTAGAAAGGGGTCAGTTTTTATGGCCAATTATGTTTTCATTTGTGAGGAGTGAGACACTTTTTAATTTTACTTTTAGTTATCTAAAATAATAAATTCACCCAAGCTAGTTTTCCACTGTTTTCTAAGACTATACAAATAACATCAAAACCTTCAAAACTCTGCATTAAAATTACTTCTAAATGGAAAATATTTCCATTATTGTATAGTTCCCCTGAAGCATTATACTCAAGTGTTTAATACTCAGCAAGTATGCTGCCATTTGCCACTTAAGAAATGCAAAGAAACCTCAAAGACTTCTAGCACTGTTACAACAGACAGGGAAAAGAATTGGCCAAAGGCTGCCTGGTGGGATCCCCTCTTGTTTCTGGTGGACTCACAATAGTCCAATTTACAGCCAAGGGTGTAAATAAGGTTCAATTTGATAGGGTTGTAAAAACATCTTTGAGGTAGGCAGTTTTAGTACATGTAAGTACTTTGTAAATGGTTGATTTTGCCATTTATCACAGTGAGTGCCATACCTGAGAATCAGGGGCCAGTCGCATAAAAGCTAATGTCAGAGGTAACTGCTAAAATCTGGCATTAGAATACAGACTTTAGCATTCACACTTGACTTTCAGATTTTATCAAATGGCTCCAGAGAATAGTCAGCAAAATAGCAGACCAACAGCATGTTGTATTTGGTGATTTCTGCACATGGCATGCTGTCTTTGACAACCCTGAGTTGACCTTGTTTTGTTACAATCCTTACTCTTTTTCTGACATAAAATACTGTAAATCGTAACCAAAATTTTCTTACATTTCCATAAGAAATTGCACTGGAGGGGGGTTTAAAGTGAAGTTTGGGGTGTGTCACCGAACCCTTCAGACCCTGACCCTGTTTTACACTAAAACCATTCTTTTTGCTACCATGTTTAAAACAAGAGACCATTTTTCATTACCCTTATTTATTTTTTTTCAGATAACCTAACATTCTATACAATTGTTTATACCACAAATGTAGACTGTGCACTGCAAATGGACCACCCCCCCCCGCTCCTCACCCACCCTCCAACTTTCAAGGCTTTAAGTCCAGAAGGAAATCCTGTTCAGGACACAAAATAAATAAAATTGTATATGCTGTTTTATTAAAAACTGAATCATTGGATAATGCAATTCTAGAGCTCTGATTGGCCTAACCATCATGGTTCATGGGTTATTATACCATGCTCCCCAAATATGGCAACTGCACGTGTCGGGAAGAATTCTTGATATTTTCTGGGCGCTTTTAATGAAACAATTATTGCACTCGCACTTGTTAGATATGAGATGATTGTAGCCAAGTCAGTGCTACACACCTTGTTGGCTATCTACCATCTCATATCCGCCACAGACTCATGGAATAATTGTTAATTAGACTCAAGACCCCGAAAAACATACCCTGTTCAGCAGCACATCCCTGTTTAGGCCAGACAAGGAGGTATGTTTCACTTCCCCCACTCCTCCCCAGTAATTAAGGAACTGCAAATGGTCCTCTGTGTAATAAGCCCCATACAGAAACATGTATAACCTAACCTTTCCATCACTTGTGAGGGCCACAGTATGCATTCCACCACATTCCACTTGGACAACCTTCAGCCCATCAAGTCCCTTCACAAAGGCTGGCTTCTTTCGTTCCAGAATGTCTTCACCTAGACCCAGCTGGCCAACATCTCCTTGCCCCAGTGTCAGGATATACCCAGCATCTCTGTTGTCACGAGAAACCGGTGCATCTGTGTATTAAAATTTTGGTTAAAACAAATAACATACTACAATGTTCGTTTCAAGCGAACATAAATCTGCAAAGCTGAGAGCTGCATGCACCCTTTGAATCGAAATGATGGCAAACTATTAACGACTAAACAGCAATGTTCAAGGCTGAGAATTGTCTCACCTCGGTTTTCTTTCTTCTTATCGATATTTGCTTCCACTGGCTCCTCTGCTTTTCGTTTACTCGGCTGGCGTTTCCTTGAAGGCATACTGTTAAATTCAAAACGTCTATATCGATCAGTTTCTCTTCGAAGAATGCCTTCGAAGACCTCGTGCAAATGGTGGACAATGCGCGCGCAGAGATGGCGGGAGATTTTGAATATTTTGACCGCAGACCAAAATGATCGCGGGGTGTATTGCATATTCAAAAGTGCTTGACGTCTGATTATTAAACTCTTTCCAATTGTTTTTTTCCCCTTTCTTTACAGGTAATTCCCTTCAAAAGATTGTACTATCAAGATTTTGTTCAAACTTGGCACAATTAATAGTCATATCCCGGACATTAAAAAGCTGCAATAAAGAGATTGGGTCACAGTGCTTCCGTTTCGTAGTTTGTGCCATTAATTCTAAGAGTTTTTTCTAGTTGCCCGGCAAATGTTCAAAACTTTAACAACCGTCAAAAATTCTCATCATATCGCAAAAACTATGAATCTTGATAAAACCTATAACAAATTTGTTTGTCTCTTATTTTTATGTAAAGTGACTTAAAATTACCAGATTCTACTGTTCTTCTGTTCCTCTTTTCCTTCCGTCCCTACGCTCCTACTGTTCCTACTGTTCGCATCTTCCATCTGTCCCTACGTTCCTACTGTTCCTCTGTTCCTTCCCTCCCTACGGTTCCTACTGTTGCGAATTGCAACTTTTTAACGTAAAGTACGTTAACATTAAGAGTCTTTCGTTTGTTAAAAAAACAGTAGTTGTAATCAAGTCAGGGGCACCCAACGACAATTTTCGGAAAATATCTGTTCGGAAGACGATTTGAGATCTAGAATTTGCGGAACGTTTGTCGTAAAATTTTTTGCTTGCCTGCCTCTCGTAGGATTTTCGAACATCTAAAAACTACTATAATTGCCCATTTTTAACGGATTTTTACTCTCAAAAGGTCACCTAGAATTTTCGGGAGCCTTTTTTCTGGCTGACATTTTCGAAAAGGTAAGTTTTGATCCCTATAATTTTCGGATCACTAGACTTTCAGCTAGGAGATCCGAACAGATCAAAAATTTTTAGGGGATAAAAAAATGCCTATATCTACCGTTTAAATACTAAAATACGTTAAACAATGCTATGTACAGGTTTAAGTGGTTTTGAACTATATTCTCGTTGGGTGTCCCTGTCAAGTGTACCGTAGTCCAATTAAACACTTAACCCGGCAGATGTATTGGTACGGATGTTTATAAAACTATCGATTATCTCATCATTCCTCGAGATCATCCTTGTCAATGATGTGCAGATCTTCGCATTCCCCTTGTATCCCTACTATATCAAAGAGTGAGCCGGAGGGGACGGGGCACTTACTCGAGAGGGACCATGTAGAATGGAGACCTTTCCCTCTTAGAGTGATAAAGATCAATAAATGCTGTAAAATTGGCCAAATTACAAAGTTCAGACTTGCCCACAAGTGGAGGTCAAAAGTTTTCTCAAGTGCAAGGTGCGACCCCGGATTTTTTTGTGTTTTCAGAAGCGATCGAAGGACTGAGAAAGTACAGGCCAAGTAGCCTGCGAGCAAGCTCTCCTATCCGGGCAAGCGAAGCGAGCCTCGCGAGAACGCGCGAGCGAGGGGCCGAAGAAAGGAGAGCTTGCAACCATCTCTCATATATCTCTCATATCTCATCTCATCATCTCATATAACGGGCGGCAGATTAGAAAAGTGACAACCGCCTGTCAAGTAAGTTTAGACAGCCGAGGGCGCGTAGAATTATTTATTTATAAATCGCTTTCGCAACAGCATTAAAGCAATGTTTTTAATATCACTGATTTGTTTTTTTTTTCACGGGGACATCGAACTTCAACGTGTCCGCTCGGATAAGAACTCACTACTTTGATTCTCGTTTCGTTTACTTTTGAAAGGTCGTCCATACTGCAGTGTAGAAGACTACTACCCATCGCAATCACCAACAAAAACATCATTATATTTGTCCGTCTGGAACTGGAGAATAGCATTTTCCGGCACTTGGTTCTCTTAAGGTTCACTCCATTTGCTTCCAACTCTTTCTCTTTTCCTTCTTTACGATCAAGCTACACAGCTGCACTGTCAAGTACATGTTTCTGAATTTTTCTACCCAGTAGAATTCAATCGAGCGAAGAAACCGATGTTGGAAGACAGCGCTTTAATCACTCTTCACTTTCATTCTCCCGGTTTTCGGAACTAAACAAGGCGCTTGACACAAATGAATACAACTGATGAAGTGTTTTCCTTCCACAAGAACAACAAACTCGGTCCGACTTATCCTCCGCACGCAATATTCTCTTTGCAAGAATTACAACAAACGAGCCCGTCTGCATTGAGGGCTGAAACAAGTTCTCGGTACCAATCTGATCCCCCTGAGAACCAAATTGACACACAGACGAAGCGGGTGCCAGCTTGGCCTGTTACCAATCAACTTTGATTTCCGGAACGTCATTTTTCAGCCAATGGTATTTCCCTTCGTCTGGGCGAAGTACAAATGAAAATTTGTAAGGGATGGTTGCAAGCTCTCCTTTCCTCTGCCCCTCGCGGCTTCGCCTCTCGCTCGCGCGTTCTCACGAGCGAGACTCGTTTCACTCGCCCAAAAAGGAGAGCTTGCTCGCAGGCTACAGGCTTCAGGGCGGAAAAACGTTCTGCGCAAGCTTCTGCGCATCCCTTACCGCAGGCTCAAGGCGGGCTTTTCTGTGTGTTGACTGTGTTTGTTTGTTTGTTGCTGGAGTTCTGAGTGAAATGCACGAGGTGCGAACGTTTGCTAGCTGTAAAGCATTTTTATTTGACATGTTTGCTTTTTTTCGTCGCTTGAAAATTACTTTGGATTCAGAACAACCAATGTTAAAGGAAAAATGGATCATTCTGTCAGTCTGAGGTGGAATAAAAGGTTTTGAACATTTTTAAAGAGGCGAGTATTTTTTCTAATTGTGCATCCGATTAATTTATGAGTTGATTTCTCCGGGTTGAATTAAAACCCGCTTGTACTCTGTTATTAGTAGTTACGGTTACTTTTTTTACACGCCCAGATTTATTACCTTTGCAGAACCAGCTTTATCTTTGTCGTCAGTCAAAGAACCATATTGCTGTTATAACGCATCAGAGTGAACAAACTTGTGCGCTTATTAAACTTTCTCGGAAATAGAAGGCCAGCAAGCTTACTCAGGATCATTTTTCTGTTGCTCAAGTAATAGTAGTCAGAATTTTTTTCATTTTTCATTACATTGTTTTGTTTTCTAGTGCACTGTAAAAGTTTCTGTTCTTTATAAGAATAACTTTCCGTACGCAAATTGTCCTTTTCACTCGCTGTGAAGTAGAGAACGACAACTGCCGGCAGTGACTTCAAAACAATTGACTCTTTTCCCGTAAACAACGGCTGCGGCTGGATTTGACTGAGGCGAGCAAAACAAACCCTTATATGCAATTTTCTGTATTTTCTAATGATCGGCTGAGTCTAATTTGCTTAAACGAAGACCCTCGCATGGACCAGTTAAGTTTAAAATAGCTTAATGGTGAATCATGGCTTGGCTGCCAAGTTGCAACTGATCTTTTGCTTTTAAGGTCTTTAGGTAGGTTGTTTTCGTACAGAAAATTCATTTCTTCATTTATTGTCAGCAACAAGTTTTTGAAATAATGTAACTTTAACTTTGTTTGAAGGAAATCCTACTTACGCGTAGGTTTTTGACAGATGTTATGTGTGTTCAACTTGACAACACAAAGCAAAATTTATATATCTGCGCGAAATGAGCAATTTTAAAAAACTATAGTTGCTTTGAAACCGATTTTTGGGAAGATTTTACTAGATAAAGATTGACCTTTTTTCTGCCCACATAAAGGCAACGCAATAGCTTCTACATTGAGGATTTTCTTTATATTTTGGTGATCTGCGAAACTATGAGTGTCCGATCGAGCGAGGGTTTTAAAATATCAGCTCGAGTGCGAGAAAGTTCAATGACTTCAAACACATTGTGGGCAAGCGTTAATTTTTTTGGGCAAATCACTGCCCAAAGATATGTTGTTTTTGTGTCCACAGTAGAGCTCCGGACCTTATATATCCAGGAACTTCCTTATATGAGCACATTTTGTGAATGCATCTCGAAAAAAATCGGAGCTACGCATGCACATTTCCAGTACAACTCAAGGAAATCAATGTCGTTAAAGTCCGTTTTACTATGAGGTATTCTTCGAGAAAATTTACTAACGACAAGGTTATAACCACAGCTTGCAACTTTTGAAGACAAATTGCCTGTTCTTTCCAGGTTCTGAGTGGAAACATCTTATTTTTAGGCAATAAAATATTTGAAATCCCGCCATTTTTTCAAACCCGGCCAGGGGATCTGGGCAAAAAAGTTCGCGCACGCTCATTACGTTTTTCCGCCCTGAAGCTACAGGCCAAGTTGTGAACTTCCTTATGAAATCCCCGCCCCAGTCCCTGATGGTAAATATTTTGACAATTTGACACATGCGCAAAGTAGCATCCATCTGGAGGTGGAACATGGCTGCCGCGTCATGAATGAATCTCGAGAGATTATAAGCGATACTTTCTCCAATTTCATCTCGATGTGTGGGACACAAATATGTTCCATAACAGGAGAGGCCATACGGACATCAAGAAGACTTCGCAAAAATTCCTAGACCTTAAAAAGGAGAGCCATGCTAGGCTACGCGCTCTGCGATCTTTGCTCGGTATGTGTTTCCTTGCACCAGCTCTGCAAACTCTTGAAATATAAAGAAAGTACACACGAATTATGCTCCAAGGGATTTGTTTGATTTGCCTGTGCACCTTGCCTTTCAGATTACCTTGATGCTTCCGACTCCAAGAAATTTTTCAACACTTACTATTCCGAAATATTTTACGTATTTCACGATGTTTTCTCCATGGTGGAGGCAAATCTCAAAACAAGAGGTTGGTCCTTTGAAATATTTACATCGCTTTGCAGCCATTTGGATATTGACACAGAACAATCTGCGGTAGAAATTCAGTTAGATTATTGTCCTTCTAACGTTTTTTGAAGATACGATTCTCTGTTCATCTAGGAAGTAAATTTAAACTTCTGCATTATGAGTTTATTCAAATGGCTGAGTATTTTCGGTAAACAATATCGCGGAAAATAGCTGGTTGATCGGTGCTAACGTACAATATTTATTATTTTTTTAGGTCATAAGTCACAAAGGGAAGACCTCGATTCAATTCTTATTATGTTAGAGGTAAAAGGCAATATCTTTTTTACTTTGTTTAACATTGTTTTTTTTTTACAAAAAAATTTAAATTTATATTCAAGACACACTGCTAATTATTGCTCATGTTCTGTTCAAGTTAATATAACAGGTGAAGTAGGATTGTACATAAACGGTCCAAAATATAACGATTTGTTTTCGTTCATCTACAAACAGAAAATACTGCTTTATCTTCCTGATCTGATTCACAGAAGATGGCAATTTCACAGTATTGGTAAGCTCTTTTGACATAATTTTATGCATAATATAAGAATCGTGTATTGCTAGAATATTTTAGTTGTTGCTGCTTTGTAAAAAGATAATCACCCTACAGTTATAGTAGTGTAATCAATATTATGGGTAAGGTAAATTAAAGGCACACATCAGACAAGGAGGCCCACTTGACAAAAAGGTTATACCCCTGTTTCTGCATTGGAAATGCATCGATGGAGCATTGGAAATGCATCGATGGAAATTAATGCTTGTTCACTTTAGGGTTACCACCAGCTGTTCTGACAGGAAGGTGTGAAGCCTGACCTGCAGATGTAAAAAAGAACACTCTTTATTTGAGTGTCAATTGTTTTGTGCAAAAGTACTAAATGAGGATACTATTTTTACATGTATGTCTCCTGCTGGAGATGAGACCACCATTTTACCTGACCTTTTTAGGTTGACCATTTAAAGTTGGTTATTTGTCTTTATGACATTTAAGGGTAATATATATACGTGTACTTACTGACTTTCACTGGCTGCTGTCTGAGTTGGTGACTGTGTAATTGCCTTTGAATATGAAGATTGTTGTTGACTATTTAAATCACATGTAAAACTGGGGACTGAATGGTCTACTATGTAGGTTTGGTGTTTTCAGACTACTTTCTTGCTACAAACCCTGTATTTCTGTAGTGGTGTTATACTAGCATGATTGGACACATGGCAGTGTTGTAGTCAACATGTATGTGCACTGTAGATTCAAGGTTTGAACCGAGCCACTGTGTAGTTTCCAAGTTCTCATAAGTTTTCTAAAGTTGGGGCGTGCATTAAAAAAAAAAAAAAAAATAATGTATTCTGTTTTCATTTTAATTAGTTTTCTTGCCCCTGTTTTCTGTTGGGATTTACTAGACTTCATTTTGGTGGGAAAAGTTTTAGGATCTTAGTATTACGTGGAAGTTAGTGGAACAAGATTTTCCTCTGAGTTTTTTGTGTTAACGTTATAAGTTGTCCTTGACTGTTAAAACTGATGACGTCACATGTGGTTCAAGGGACTTAGTTATGGGCAGCTACAGTTGGTTATGCATGGGTGGCAAAGGGGTGAATGGGTTAAGTAATTATTGCATTTTTGTATAAATGGATACCATGCAGGGGTAGTAGCAATAGTCTTAGTTGCTTCAGAAACCAGTATAAGCTTCTGCTGTGTAGCTCTGTGACTGATTTCTACCAGTAGTAAAATATTATTGGTGCCTCAATATTGTTGTTTTGCTTGAGTGTCAGAAGGTTCTCTCAAGCAATGTATTGTGGCACCAACATCAACTTGGAGTAGCCTACATTTTTAACAGAAGCAACGTTAAGAATGGACCGAGGCCCCATACAAAAGTGTACTTACTTGTACCTTGTAATTGATAGTTTAATACAACTAGTTGCAACCTGCGGCTCGCTGCATCTGAAAGAAATCTGCCTTAAGGTCAAATGGACGAGCAGAAAAAAATATAATCTCCACAAAATAAAAACTTGAATGGCACTACCCTTACTTTTAATTTAGACTATAGCTGTACTTTTATTGTGGAGGAAGGAGAGGGGGGTGTGGGTCAGAGAGAATGGGGGGGCAGGTGAAGTACAGGGGAGAGGGGAGAGGGGAGTTCTTTAAAGGTGGAAAAATGGGAGGAAATTACACAACAATGGTTAATATTTTGCAATTGAAAAAGGGCTAAATGGAGGAAGCCCCCCGCCCGGTACATGTCCCTCCCACAGTAAAGTATTAGCTTCTGGAACTTTCTTTCGAGTTATTGTTATGAATCTATTAGCATTAAGACTTTTCTGTGTCAAATCTACTGCAGTGAAATTGTATTATATTTACTGTACAGTGTACCACACAACAATAGATCTTTTTATTTATGCGGCTTCTTAATGTGGCTGAAAAACCCTTTATCATACATGCACTCTATCAGAGGACTTCCATTAATAACTTTTGATCCCTGTATAAATAGGTCGTATCATGAGAAAGCTTCTGCATCATGGGAATGCACTGAAGGTATGCCATTATACCTGTAAACAATACATTGCATGTACATTTAAATTGTACATAGATCGTGATAATTCAAGTTTTTGAGGTAAATTTCAGTGAAATTTTGATCCAGAGAAAGGAAACTTGTTTAGTTTGAATTAGCAGGGAATTTGAATTATCCAAGTTCGAGTTAACCGAGTACAGTTGTGTAAATATGACTGAAAGTTGGGGTGAAATCCAAGGAAATAGGACTAAGTTTGAGCTTGCCTGGAGTTTGAGTTATCCGAGTTCAAGGTATTGAGGTTCTACTATATTTTCTTTTCCTGTATTTTTTTTATTCACAGTTGCGGCGCGAAGGTGCCCGTCTTTTTATGCTGTGGTTCCAGGCATTGCAGGAAAATTCAGATGAATTGTGTCAACTCATGTATGCATGCATGATTCCTGGTTTTCCAAATCCCATTGACAATGTGGAATGGAAGAGCAAGATGTCAAGAGCTGGTGCTGAAGAAATTTTTATGTCAATAAATGAAAGTGGCTACAGGGACCAGCCCCCTTCTACAAGCAATTTGCATTTGTCATCTGACAGAGAGAGTGATGGTTGGTTTTGTTCTCACAAAATAATCTCAACCCTTATGTTGCAGAATACAATGTACTTGTCTGATATATGGCTCTAAATGTGGAAATTTGCGTCATTCATATCTAAAAAAATACAACTACTGCTATGATCCAGATTTTTTTCTCCTTAAGATAATCGTACATGTATTTTTTGTGTAACCACAAGGAGCAAAAAACACATATAAAAAAGGGGGTTTTGTTTCATTGCAAAACTACAACAAAGGGACAATTTCAGCGTCAAATTATTATTTTGGGCAATGGGACTGGGGCAAGTTTTCAGAGAATCACCTGTTTAGCCAGGTAGAATTATCAAAACTGCGAGTAAAAGCATTACAGGTAGGACTACAAAAGGGGCCATAATTACCTCTTTTTAGACAACTGTTGAAGATCACCACACCCTTTGAAGTTGCAATGTTACATGTATATGCAGTGCAAAACCAGAGAATCACCTTAAGGAGACATTTTGGCGATTTTGGTGCTTGTATCCGCAATGGAACATTATTGCAAAAATGTGGCGTTAAACAACCTGTTTAATATCAGGGGTTTTGGAGTGAAAGTTCATTCTTGCTAAATCTTCTTTTTTTCAGACTGGTGCTTGCAAGATGAGGTAGGACCGATCTTTCCTGCCAACACCACTGAGAGATTGCCACCACCAGAACTCTTGACAAAGTTTTTTCTGGACAAAGTTTTGGATTGTATGAGCACCCAGGTTTGTAATGAAATTACAAAATAATTGAGGAATTGTAGATGAGTTAGTTTTGGGATAGGGGGTTGTGGCAGAGGTAATAAAGGCACAAAATAACTCAACTTTGGTGGAGGAGGGGAGATGTATAGGGTGGGTTGGGGTTAAGGGAGATGGCTTATGATGTAACAAGTCTTACTTTCCTTCTGCAGCTATCTGAAAATAAAAATTTTTCCTCTCTATCTTTAGCTTGTTCTTGTCGAGTGGGATGACAAGAAAACCAGAGAACATGCATTCTACTTCCTGTTTGAAAACTTTAAAAAGTTCTATCTGCCGCACATCTTTGAAGATTTTAACCCTTCAAGAGCATTATATGATTCATCACCAGGTAAGTGTGCCATCTATAAGTTAAATAATAACAATTTCAACGATAATGCATGTAACGATAGTTACTTACAAAAGATAGTTTCTCTTACAATACTTGTGAGAAATGGCAAATCTTGGCCAGCTAGTCTGACAACATGTGCTTTGATTTATAAGAGACCTTTCTGAAATTAAGCAAACTCATTGGGCATCTTGCTCAAAGTCCTGTTTACATTCAGCACAGCAATCTCATGTTATGTGGCAGATGGATTTCTGACTGCAAAATATTCACAAGATACGTTGTAATGACAGTTACGTTTACATGCACATGCCCTCAGGGTGAGTGGATGTTGGGTTGAAATAATCTTATAACAATGTCTGGAAAAGCGAACAACTCAAAAGTTAATATTAAATATTTTTCAGTTTAATTTCATTCGTACATTGTTTTATTTACCTGTTTTGAAATATGTGTACTCACTGTCTTGTTAATTCAATATGTTGGTGTTCATGTATCTGTTTTCTTTATTGTTATGTTTCAACCCTGTTATTGTTGTTTTCATTTTTACTTTTCCTTCCCGCCTTGATTAGCTAGGCTATTTCATGGGCAAGGGTCAATGGTTATGATATGTATCCAAAGTGTCTTAATAAACTTGAAGGTGAACTTGAACATGTACTTGTAAAAGTTATTACAATACTTGTGAAGAACTTGTGAATTTTGGTTACTCTGGCAATCTGCCATGTAGTATAATAGTTTCTCTGCTGCAATGTACTTGTACACCACTTGACTTGTTCCTGAATGGTCTCTGGTTTGAATTCTTTGGTTTGGTTCCCTGTGAGCAGGGGTCCTTTGATTCTTCCTTTTCCACACTATCCAGGAAGATTGATAAACCTCTGCTCATGGGGTAAGTGCAGGGTGCAAAGAAAATCAGTTTTACAGTCTGCCATTCGGGCAAGCTGTAGATAGCATGTACTAGCCCACAAGTCATTTCAACTATCCCCAAAACCCTTTTTGATTGGCAGGATTGATAACAATCCTTCTGTAATTTGAACCTCCCCAAAAAACAGCACTTGCCCGTCAGGCAAGTTAAGAACAAAAAACACTAGCCCGATAGCAAAATCCACTAGCCCCAGGCTATTGGACACGACTTTCTTTGCATGCTGGGTAAGTGTCTGGGGAACCACATTTTTTATCTTTCCTTAGTCTGTGATTAGACAAAGGAATACACAATAGGTTCTGTCTTGTCTGTAGCTTTTGAGCTGTAGGTAGCTCAGGCTCATTCTGCATGTTCATGTACTGGTACAGATTACATAAAACTAAAGACACAAAGAAAACAGCGATACTAGTTAGGCCCTAGTGAAACCTTATTATTTGGTTCTTAACCTTGTGTATTTCGTGTGTATGTAATTTGTTCCATTTCACACAGGGGAAATGACCCTTTGTGTGAAGAGAATTGGTATTTTTAGATATAAGGGAGTCGCATCTCTTGATACATACAGTAATAATGAGATTTGCATCTCTGAAGTCAAAAGTTATTTTTCGCAAATTAATGATGGCAACAATCTGAATAGTATCAGTTTCAACTGCTGTTCACAAGCCACATACAGTTGGTTATTGAAATCATTAATGGTAACTTCAAATGTTTAAAAGGTGCTGCAGTGTGATTATCAGTTACAGCATTTGACATGATAACTGCATAACTGTCTATGTTTAAAATAATTTTAGTTTTAGTGGCTTAAATCCTGATTTATAGTGGCATACATGTAATAATTAATAACTGCTACTTTGTCACTATCTGCCTTTCAGCTGCACAAGTTCCACGGAAGAGGAGCAACAGTGCTGGCAGGGAAGCAGAGCAAAGAATGATCAGTGCAAGAGACTCTGTCCTCAGATGGTTCGTTGCCTTCACTTTTAGATTCAAGAGGTCTGACAGTGTCTCAGAATCGCCAAATGTGAATCAATCAATAGTATCAATATCATCCACTGAAGGTAGTGAGCCGGGTTCACCTCCGACATCAGGTGGAGCCATTCAGTTTAGTCCAGCACGCAACAAAGAATACTTACATGATGCCAGTGATGTGATCAGAAAAGTGTTGTTCTCTACCCGCTCAAATATAAGACTGCTTCATGAGGTTCTCGACAGGAATGCGTTTACATTGTAAAAAATTGTGCTTGTACTCCAAACTAGTTTCAGTGGCTTGAATCCTAAATAGACTAACAACCACAGAATGTCCCTTCTCATGCCCTTCTACATGAAACCAAAAAATACATCTGTTTGTAAGCCCCCCTCTAGCTTGTTTTGAATGAAATGGATATGTTATGATGGATTGAAGCTTAAGTAACAACCGGTAAATGCAAAATGTATGACGGGCACTGCTGCTGTTGCTTTTTCTTTCCCCCTCAGTTATTAAGCGCCCTCTGTTTATAAGCCCTTCTCAAACCCTGGCTTTACAAAGATGCATAAACCCTGGGCTTAAACATGTAAGCAGCAGCTTACAGTAGCCAGTCACTATCAATTTATTTTAATTGTCTACGGGCAGATTTCAATTGTGAAAAAAAAACATTTGTTGTTGGAAGGTACATGTAATGACCTTATGCAATGATAATGGCAATGACAATCGCAATGACAACTTCAAAAGGTTTCATAAACAAAACAACAACTTTGCACATACGCCACTTGCACATCTCTCATAATGCATGGTAAAATTCCGAAAATAAGCCCCTCCATGTATAAGCCCCTCCAAATATAAGCCCCCCAAACTCGTAATGTAAAAAACCCTCCGTTAAATCGCTCCTCCAAATATAAGCCCCCCGGGGGCTTGTACTTGGAAAATTGCCCTCAAATACAAAGTAAAACAAAGCAAAAACAGTAAATTTACTTCCAACTATAAGGCTAGCCCAATCGATTTTGAAACGCAAATTTCGCTCCGTAGATAAGCCCCTCCGAATATAAGCCCCTCCAAAAATAAGTCCCTTAAAAAGGGCCTTTGAAAAATATAAGCCCCGGGGCTTATTTTCGGAATTTTACGGTATCTTATTTGCCTCCCAAAATTTTGCACAACCTTTGTTTTTCATTTCTCCTGGATATTACAGCTGTCCCAACAGAAATTGAAAACAATGCTTATGCAAAATTTTGGGGGGCAAATAAGGTGCATTACGGGAGATGTGCAAGTGGTGTATGCATTGCACTTTTTGGTAAATTCATTGCTGTCCTCTACATGACTGATATGTGAAATTTCATAATGCAAGGTTCTGAAGAGGATATTATGAACACACAAAAGTGACAACAAGTAACAATTCAAAAACATTTGGCTACAACTGACAAACTGGATTGGCTGAAATCCATGTACATGTATCATGTCAAAGTGCTTAATGACATCAAAGTAATATCATCTTGTTGGTTGGGTAAGGCCCCTAATGACACTTAAAGGCTGGTTTTCACTAGTGACAGAGTCGGAGTTGGAGTCATAAGCAGAGTCATAAGCCCAACGGAATTACAGTCAGAAGAATTAGAACGTTTCTGTTTCCTTCCGACTTTGCTTCCGACTTCGCCGCTTACATTCTGCTTATGATCTAGTGAAAACCAGATTGTCGGAGTTGGAAGCAAAAGTGAAAGGATAAACCAATCACAATGCACATTCCCTGGCTTTGTGATTGGTTTAGTTCGTCCACTTCTGCTTGTGACTCCGACAACCCAGTTTTCACTTGATCGTAAAGGACAGAGTCATGCACGCTGTTTTTGGAATAGGAAGAATCAGAATGCTGTTTTCACTAGATCATAAATTTTTATGCTTCTGATTACGACTCCGCCTCCAACTCCTACTTGGTCACTTCTGAAAACAAGCCTTAAGAGTGAGCCTACCAGGTGAATATTGACTTTGAAGCTTAACAATGAATTTTTATAAGCAAGACTTGAAGGGAGTTGGGGTGGAGAAACTTGCCAGTTTAAAAATGAGAGGAAAACTGGGCCAGGTTTACTTTCACAAAGACTTCTGGGATTGTTAGTAGTGACAAGGGAAAAATAATTATTATTGGCCAATAGCTGAACAATGCATCCCCAGTAATGATCCAAGAAACAATTGCGGGACACATTTCAGTTCCAGTTCCCTTCTAATTTCTAAAGTGGTGAATTGTGTGATTTATTAAGTTACTTTGATCTGTGACATTTCCTTGAAAACTAAGGAAGAACTAGAATCTAGATACATTTACTCAATGGGACCTTGGTAAATATTAATTACCTTTGTGTTGTTTTCAGGGATTTCTTCTTCCAGCCAAAAATCTAAACACCGTGCGGCAGGTACTCGGGGTGTATCATGATTGGATTAAGGTGAGCTAGTGGTATAAGCAATGCAAATATACTTACTGGTGTGCTTTTACTGTCAAACTTAGAAAACCGTGAACACCTGAAAAACTTCAGGAATGTAGATTGTGTAGTGACCAATCACAATAAAGGTCACTGGGGCATGTAACAAATCGCAAAACCACACACTACATGTAATTACTGTTGCTGTTTGTGGTTTAGTTTTCTCACGCCTTACTGGCTTTTTCCTCGCAACACATCATTCCGTTTCATGTTCATGGTTTTGTGAGTTTCACAGTAATAAGTGATTGTTCGGTTTCTGTGGGGGCATGAACTTGGTAATTTGTTTTGTCTATTAAGAATTGGTTAAATTTATTTCTTTGTTTATTAATTTGATCATTCATACCAGTGTATTCTTTGCCTGTGCATACATACATATTGGTTCTAACATTCCAAGTATGACAGTCTTCATTTGTTTATTAGGATGTAGATCTGGAATAATGATCCCATCTTGCGCTTGAAGTTCAACTCTACTTAGTTTATTCAAATGTAAATTAATTCCATAGTGAAGTGTGTAAATTTTCTACTGTGGATTTTTTTAGAGTGCAGATAAACCTGTATTTATGCTGGAACCCACCCAAGAGTTGTTGAGACCACTCGATGGTGAGAAGTACAGTCCACAAAGTCCCATTAGGAGTCTGTCATATTCATGTGCTGTAGATCGAGCAAGACAAAAAGTATTCCGACTGCCACAGGAAGATGTGCGAGCTGGTCTTCAAGCCAACCTGAGGTTTTTTATCTTACATTCTGCAGCTGTATTTCTTGTGGAAGAGGATGAAATGTATTTGGATAAACAGGTGACTAATAGTTATTTAAGTAAACATACAGTCATGTTCATTGAAATCTGCATGTACAGAAAATTAAGGTAAAATTTCTCCTTTTTAATTTTAATTTTGTAACATTTTTTTTTGGCTTGAACATGTGTTTTTGTAACTTTAAGGTTGATGTCTGCAAACGTGTCATCCATCTCTATCGGAGTGTTGTTTTAGAAGTGCCAATGGAACCAACCACATGGTATTATAATTTTACTTTTAATTTAGCCTCTATAAAGAATTCGATTTGTGGAATAATTTGTTTCTAAGTGAAATACAATAATAATAATAAATGAAATGATCTCATACATGCAGGCTTTAGTTAGTTAATCCAGATTATTACTGGCTGTTAAAACTCTAAACATTAGTGGTGCACTTTGATTCATCTGTTCAGGTCTTGAAAAATAAAAGTGTATGCTTTTGCTTTTTATGGTACAAAAACCGCAAAACAATCCTGTCAATAATAATGAAAATCTCTTTTTTAATAATTTATACTGATACAGAGACTTTCAGTAGCCTATTTGTTTTTCTGTATTTTACCAAAATTTAACAAAGTTTGCAATTAAACTCGATTTTCATATTGCCCACTGTTAAGAGTGAAAGAGGTACTGTTCTACCGTTCGATACATTAATTTTTTGATGATTCTGACTTAGAATTTTTGATTGTTGATCAACAGGGAGCAGATGTTAGAGTCTCTTCTGGAGGCTTCAAGACACTTGTTAGTTCCTGAAATGTCACAGAACAAAGCAGTGGCAATAGCTAGACAAGTTGTAGGCAGCCTACTTCAGGTTAGATTAGAACAATGCTCAAGATCAAGTCATAACAGACCCAAGGGGTACTTGGGTCAATTTTTGCTGGATATGGATTGTGCCGCTGTCCTCTCAGAACCGTATTATCCACCATTTTCACATAGACCATAATGACCTTGTTTACCCCCTAAAATAGACCTTTTTACCTATACGACGGCCATATTGAATTAATTGGATTTAAGGAGTATTATGGGATGCCCAGGGGGCATGAGCACGATCTCATATACTTGCATCAGTATTTACGCGCCCTTTTCGGGCCAATTTTTCTTTAAGTTTTTCTAGAAAAAAATTGTAATGAGAAAAAAGATCATTGTGCCATCTTTGGATGTAATAACGATCGGAAATATACATTGAAGTTCTCTTTTTGGCCGAAAAGCGCTTGTAAATACTGAGCGAGTGCACTCTGGGCATCCCATAATACTGCTTAGATCTAATAAATTCAACCGCATCGGTAAAAAAAATCTATTTTACGTACTTGTAACCATTGTTGCCAATTTCTCCTTGATATTACAGTCATTCCTACCCTGCTTGCAGAGGTTTCTCTCTTTACTCCCTGTGAGTAAACAAACCAACTATGTGACAGACAAGCCATGCGAATGACTTCGTAAACGCTTAAAGCCATGCAAGAAAGAAACCTCTGCCCGCAGGCTAAGTCATTCCAAGAGAAATCAAAGACGAGGGTTTTGCAACATTTTTGGGGGTAAACAAGGTGCATTATGGTCTATATATAAATGGTGAATAGCTTATTATGTGGCCAATTATAGAACTCATCTTAAGGTGGATTTCCACTGCCACATAATTTTGATGTGCGTATGCACGTAAAATTTACATAGAGGCAAAGTATGAATGGCTGTGCATTAACATCAAAGTTGAAGGAGGTTCAATTTTAACATTTACCTCTATTTTATTTAAATTACGCAACAGTGGAAATCCACCTTTGGTCACTTACATGCATGGGCAAATGTAATTTGTGACCTATCACGCAACTTATTCACTTTCTGTAACATTACATGCATTTAGCTGGGAATCTTCCCATTTACAAATCCCTACCTACCAGAAATTTCTTACCCCCAAGATTTGGACAATGTAAGACCCCATCCTAGTAACTCTATTGGGAGCTCCCTCCCCTCTGAAATAAGTCCCCCCTCTCTATTAAGTCCCCCCCTCCCCCCCCAAAAAAACATTTGAAATAAGTAAGCCACCGAGGGGCATTAATAGAGGATTTTACAGTGTCTTTCAAAGAGTCATGTTCAAGTTGCAATGAATGAATTAGTATTATTTAAGAAATCAATTTATGTTTAGCTTATACACTGTAATGAGCTCCATCGCTAACACTGGACACATATTTTACCTACATCACACTTCCCTGTAAGATGAATGTGCATTGTAAGTAAGATCATCGTGGAAATCAGACATGATGTTTCTATATGTTTTTCATAACCACTCTTATCATCTTCTTAGACTCTGTTTGTGACATGGATCCGAGCCAATCTTAAAGTCAATGTACCCATTGCTTTATGGGACAAGTGCTTGGAGGTTGTTTCATCTTCTACTCACTGGAAAGAAGTTATTGCTGAATGGAGTGTGAGTGTCTAGGTCAATTTTTTTTTCTAACAATCTCAGTTCATAATCAAGAGAATGAGTTATGAGAAGTAATGAAATGATCAAAAGGAAAAGTCTTGATCTTTTAACCAATTGTCTCAACCAATTTTGAAAGGAAATGTCTGAGATCAGTCAGGAGAAGTTTTAGCTGGTATTGTAGTGTTTAAGTGAGTCCAAAATTCGTCTGTTTAGCTGGATGAGTGCGGTCCTTTAGAGGACTGTTGGTTACAGTTATACGTTTTGACAGCTTTTGTGTAAGTCATCTTCAGAGTCAAAGTGACGCGGATATTATCAGTTGATGGTGTTGCACTTAATTTAACAATGTTAGTGGTTGTTTGTTACAGCTAGAAGCCCAATAGTGCGACCTCCTTTAATTAACTCACATTCTTTCATGCAGACATTAACCAATCAGAAGTCGAGGACAGTTTCCAGCTGGCTTCTGATTGGATTAAATCTGTACAAAAGAATATGAATAAATCAAAAGCGGTCACACTTTAATTTTGGGCTCCATGCTGTTATAGGCCATTTGCACAACGATGTGATTCTACTACTACGACGAGAATCCTGTAGGGTTTTGCTTTCCTGTGCAAATTAAGGCTTTTGTTATTTAAACCTTGCTGGGTTGACGAAATTTTAATATGAATAGAAAGCGAAGAGGATTCTGGTCTTAGTAGTAAAATGACGCCATCATGCAAATGGCCTGTGATATCATTGGCTGTAGACGCTCTGGAGGCCAAGATTGGTTTACTTTTAACCATAATATGTTGTTATCTTTTGAGTTTTAACTGTAAATAGTTGAAAAACAAATAAACAAACCAAAGGTACGAAACAAAAGAATCGCAGGGTTTCATTTCAATTATCAGTTGATAGCATAGACCTATTCGGCTAACTCAATGTTGTACCCAATTCAAACCCTTTGGGAATAAAACGTTTTGTTTCAGGAATGTCCATATCATTTAAATGTGAATGCCACATTGTAATGCAAATGCCATACACAAAGAATCTTACCCCCGGGAGATTTGAATTGGGTACAACATTGAGTTAGCCGAATAGGTCTATTGTCACTCTCAAAAGGTTGAACTACTTACTTTTTTTATGCTATGCTGATCTTGGCAATTTAATTGAAGCAGCTTCATGTACTATGTGCATTGCAGAATGGGCACTGTTTATTTTTTTTTTCTCAGTGTGTTCCTCTACAAGATTGTAAAATCAACCGTTTACATCGATAAAAGCATGATAAAGATTATAAAGATTTATAAAATAACCAGGATAATACGCGCGCTCTGATTGGCTAAAAACCTATGGTTTATTGTCCCGGTAAACTCATAGAAAACTTAAAATTATTTGAAAAAAAGTAATAGACCACGCTTTCTATGGGTTTACCGGCGTGATAACCCACTTGGGATGTTGGGGGAACACTCGAAAAACTTGTAAATCACTCGGCTCGTAATTTACAAGCTTTTCTCGTGTTCTCCCAACATCCCGCGTGGGTTATCACGCCGGTAAATCTATAGAAAGTGTGGTCTATTGCTTAAATATAAAGCTTTTATGATGTAGCCCCTTTAAGTATTAATTCTCTGGATTGCTTTTGTCATCAGGTAACCATGGAAACTCTGACAAGGGTGATGGCGCGAACTGTCTATGGCCTAGATATGGCTGATCTCCCTTTAGAAAGACTGACAGAACAGAAGCGCAAGAGGCGACCACAGGTACCCAATGGAAGGCGGATTTTTAACAAGGCTTCTTTCTCCCGTTGGAGTCGAATGGAGAAGACCAGTGCTCCAAAGCAGATAGTGTTAACTGTAAATGACTCTAATGCTATTGTTTCTCCACAAGTCCAGAAGCCGCGGAAATTGTCTCACGAGGAAGGCCGTCGTCCTCTGTCCGTTAACTTGCCAAAACACCCGAAAGTGTTGTCTAACACAAACAGTGCTTTCTTGCCAACTAACACACCAGCTATGGATAGCGTGTCTCCTATCAGAACTGTTGTTACATCTCCCTCCGCTTTCACTGCAGGTTAGTCATTCTAAGTTGAATCAACGTTTGTACTTCCCGTGTGTACTGTTTTTCTGAGCCTGGAGGTATCGGGTCTTTTCGCCCGAAAGTCGAGTCGCCCAGACTAAGTCGATTGGTATTTGTCGTTCTTTAAGCTTGAGAAAAAGGAATAAGTATGGAAAGACAGTGACTGCACGTGTCCTGCACATGTGGAATTCAAGGTTAACTAAAATAATATCTCGGAGAAGTAGGTTCACCATGTTGTAGAGTGTCGTATGTCTTCGGGAGAACTAAAATCGACTTAAGTCCTAGCGAACGCCTTTGGGTGAATCGACTTTCGGGCGAAACGACCGTAATAGTCCACTTCTGAGTTTCGAAAACCCTCTCCTTCAAAATCAGGGTAGGTGCACAACCTGTCTTGTGAAAATGAGTTTTATTTGCATGAAAATGAAAAATGATTTCCATATCAAAGGCTAAGCACCTACCGTCGTTTGGAAACAGAGGCCCGGGGGAACTCGGAAATGGCCTATTCAGCCATTTTTACTGACTATCACTGTTTTACAGGTTCAGTGACTACCGAAGATTCCGATGCTGCAGGCCAGCATAAGGAACCTAAAGGTATCAGTAAAGAAACTAAAGAGAAATGTAACACAGAAAGCAACACTAACGAGGAACAAAAAGCAGTATTCTCTCTTGCAAGTGACACAGACAGTATGGAGAGCGTCGAAATGCATTCAAAATCTGAACATGATACGGATTCGCACGCTAATGAAGATCCAAGCAAAGCAGTGGATACTACGGACGGTTTACCCACTCAGCGAACACAACGCTTGAGCAGCAGTGACAGTTATTTTTCGCATCAAGACTCTAAGACCATGCCTTGGTATGCGAGTAGTCTTGACTTTGAGATGGGTCCTGATGCTAAATTAGCTGGCTCCGAGTCACCGCAATTACATCTTGACAGAATCAACGAGTCTCATCTAGAGGCTAACTTAGACGAATTACATCAAGTAAATCACAGAACTTTGAATAAGACGTCCACTCCGTCACGTGAAGTGAGATTTGTTCCAGGAGGGAAAGGGGAGTTTGATCATGACATGGGAGGCAGGTCCTCTCCTGACTCATCTGGAAGAGGTTTGTGTTTCGAGTTTACATGGAAATATAAAATGATTCTATAGATCGTTTTCACTGTCACGCAACAAAAAAATAAATTGGAAACCGTCGAGTGGAAGAAGCCAAGAAAATGAAATGTTTTAAAAGACTAGTATATAAACACTTTGTCCAAGTCTCAGGTCTTTGTGGCCGATAGTTTCTGAGTTATTTGCCGAAACGTTTCACGCACCTCTGTAGAGCTTTGTATGGAGACGCCATATTGGTGTACCCGTTTTGGTGCATCAATATGGTCGCCGGAAATAAAAAAAAAGTCTGGAGTTCAGGGGCAGGGGCATCCATCCCCAAGAAATACGATTTTCTGCCTTTCCGTGACCGGAAGGAGTTAACTTGGCAGGTCTTTTAGCGTATTAAAAGAGTGAGTAATGATGTCTTTAATGAACAAATACAACTTCATCCGATGTAATATTTATACTTCAGAAAATATTTTTGTTTGTACACGTCACGTCGGCGGTGGGGCATGGAATATGGCCCTTAGTGACTTTTGATGTTATGTCAAATCCTCCTTGGAAGAGGGTTGTGTTGTTTAGTGTACATTTAAAAGGCATGCTAATGCTGTTAAATCTCGATGTTTTGAACTCTTAGTTTGTCAAGCCTTTCTATAATCTGAACCAAAACTGTCTTTTCTTCCCCTGTCAAATACTGTAATTCTAACCCCCCATTTTTCGAACTTTCCGACGAAGCTCTTTTTCCCTCCCGCCGCCTTTAGTGGAAGATGAGTCTGATAATGTCTTTATTTATTAATGTATTCCTAGATACTCCCGATGATCTGGCTGTGGCTTCCAGGACTCCTTCCCCACCTCTTTTAAATGAAACCCACGAGGAGCTTCTTGATCACGACTTTGTTGAAGAAGACCCGCATAATGAAGATACTAGTGTGGTAGCGGGAGGTTACAGGGAAGGTTGGAGTCCTGTGGCGGCAGTGGTCCTGTGGCGCAGAATGCTGGGAATTCTGGGCAATGTAAACAAGATAAAAAATCCTGCCATTCACGGTAAAGTCTTTGAGTGCCTGACATCAGTCTGGACCTTGCTGGCCAAGGTAATTCAATAACGATAATAATTGATGGCAACAGGGGTTTCCAGTTTAGGCAGTGTTTAACGTTTTTTCAGTTTGCCTAACGCTTTTAGAGCGATTTTCGTATGACCTTGAAATGAAACGCGCGAACGATACAGAAACAACAAACGAACGGAAATAGAGGTATTTGATTGGTTTATCGAACGGATACAAACGCGCGTGGCTCTTAGTTGGTTAAGCGAACGCTGGGTTCAACTTCCTGGAAATCAATCGATACTTGGCTTTGACGTCATACTGCAACACGATTGGCCAATCGAACAATGGCTTCTCCGTATTAGGGGTTTTCTTTGGCGGGAAAACGAAGAGTCCATGTTTTGACCTTTTCATCCATTGGCGGATAAATCAAATAACGAACACTTACCGAAACCATTTTTTAAGGTCATACGAAAATCGCTGTAACACTTTTATCTAGATATTGTTCATCGTAAACACTATCATGGTAGCATATAGGGTACACTAGAAAAACATTTATCTTATTAAAATAACCCGCTCAAGAAGAGATGTGTTACTCCAATGATTTCTTAAACCGCGGCCTGAATTAGACTTTGTCAAAATAACCAACCATGAACTTTAACTTTGTTGAGGATTGTGTTTGAACTTGCGAGGTGGTATTTTTGTACACTGTTTTTTCCCTTTAGATCCGATTGAATCAAGGCATCTCATTGGATAACAAGTCCACTCCTCCCATTCCTGTTTTAATTCCTCCACTGCAGCACTTGGCTACTTGGGTCTTTGAGGTCAGTATCAGAGGGGAAAAAATCACTACATCAGAAACACTGCATCAAGTATGATTTAAAAAATATTGGTAACGGCTCCAGGTGCAAGCCTTGCCTTCCAGTTATTTCCTTAAACAACGACCTTGTCTCTTTTCATCCAGCTGTATAAATGGGTACCCTGTGACATACTGCCGAGAGGAGTGGTTACCCTGCACAGGACTACCACTGGAAGCAGAAATGCTCATAGGTACCTCATGCTGCAGAAATCGAGTTAATCCTCCCATGTGGCCCTCATGGCTCGTGTTTCTGCTTTACCTTTGCTTAGGCGTAAGGAAAAAAGAACTCCTTCGAGTGTTCTATTATACCCCACTTAATAGGACCATTTATACGAGGAAAAATAAGACGCGTCTTACATACGACGCGTCTTAAATAAGACGCGAACTGTACCATTTATACGAGCATGTCTTATCTAATAAGACGCGTCTTAGCTAAGCCGCGTCTTATTTTCGACGAAATGTGCCGTTTATACGGAAAGTTCGCGTCTTGTGTAAGACGCGTCTTATTTTTCCTCGTATAAATGGCCCTAATGATGCGTACTATCCAATTACGTTGTCGTATGAAAAATAAGAGCTGAAAGCCAATCAGATTGAAGAATTTTGTTGTAGTTATGTGTAATCATAGATTTCCAATGTTTCGAGCCGTCGAGTTTTCAAAGTAAACTTTTTTTCCTTGGTCATGTTTCAAACATATTCTTCAATTCTGCGCTCCATTTTTCAAATCCTGATAGTTTAAAACAAAAGTTCTTGGTTTCCTTAGGGAAATGAGGGAAAAATGTACCTTCAAAATTGCAAACCTTTAGGATTTTTTACACACCAAAGAATTACGGCCTTAGACTTCAAGTTACAGTGTAAAATTATCCGTTTTACAAAGTTACTGGTTGTAACTTGACTGTATCAGGAGCCCATCTGATGGCTGCTGACTGTGTTAATTCGAGGGGAACATAAAACCTTTCTGGGAAACAGCCCACCTACCCCTGCCCTAAGCCACCATTTTGCACTAAGTGAGAAGTAAGTGTTAATAGGGAGCTTAAGCAAAGACGTTTTTGAGCGACGCACGTCAACCGGAAGTGAGGCCTTCTCCCTTTTTATATGCCTGGAAACTACCAAATTTGTATTGCTGAGTTTCTTTTCTCCTATAAAGACGATTTACCTAAGGGTTTCAACCAAACCACAGCCCAATGCTGCAAAAAGTCCACTTCCGGTTGACGTCCGTCGCTCAAAAACGCTGTTGCTTAAGCTCCCTAATGTTGGCTTAGGGGAGGGGTAGGTGGGCAGTTTCCCGGAAACGTATAATGATTCGTGAGAAGTAAGTGTTAATGTCAAGTGTTGGCTTAAGGGACGGGTAGGTGGGCAGTTTCCCAGAAACGTATAATGATTCGTGAGAAGTAAGTGTTAATGTCAAGTGTTGGCTTAGGGGAGGGGTAGGTGGGCGATTTCTCAGAAAAGTGCATTGATCCGTTAATTCGGGGTTACTTTCTTTTTTGTTCAGGCTGCCTCGTTGTCAATTAATAATGAATTTAAGAGTGGTCGTTTGCTGGCCTACAAATTGATGTGTGCTATGACTGTCTGTAGACAAGACATGCCTCTTACTCAAGAATACTTGACACACTTCTACCGTTTAATGCACATAGGACTTACAGGTACCGATCAGGTAAGTGTAGTTTATTACTAGGTAACTTTGGCTGTTTTCTTTAGAAGGAGGAGTGTGGTTTCAGCGTTCAAAGAAGGTAGTGTCCGATAGCCCGGTGCTGGCGGATTTTGCTATCGGGCTAGAGAATTTTGCTATTAACTTGTCCGACGGGCAAGTGAATTTTTTTGAGGAATTCAAATTACAGAAGAACTGTGAAATCAATCTGCTCATCAAAACGTTTTTGGGGCTAGTTGAAATGATGTTTGGGCTAGTAAATGTTAGCTTCAGCTTGCGCGAATGGAAAGCTGTAAAAATGACTTTCTTTGCACCCTGGGTTTATATTAAGAAAATGATCAGGTTTGTTTAGTCCTGTCTTTAAGCACTTAATTAAACATGGCGTAGTTTTTATTCACGTAATAGCCTCTCTTTAGCTTGTATGTTTTGTTTTTTCGTAATAGTCATCTTCAGAGTCAAAGTGAGTTGTACCACGTCAGTTGATGGCATTAAACTCTGGTAATTTTTCTGATTGGTCAATTAAGTCGCGATGCTATTGGTCGTCTGTCAATTAAGCCGTGATGTTATTGCCTATGAAGACTCGTCATGTCATTGGTGCGTTTCGATCCGTCTATTGTCGATGTCACAGTTAAACAGTCGTTTATTGGTAGTAAATTTGTCGGTTGTCCAGTCATTCTCTCGTAGTTAGTTTCGCTTGAGTCCGTCGATAAGTCGTTTGTATGATGCCGGTAACTGTTGACTACGATTCAAAAGCGTTTGTTCTAAGTTAGTAGGGACTTTAAGATCCAACGACGCGACGGCGACAAGAACGTCGCTTAAAAAGTGAATTTGCGTTCTTTCAGTCTTTATAGCGATTATTCCTACCCACTTACTTTGTCAATTGTAGGCAAACCCTCCTGAAGCTGAATTTCAAGGGACCATATTCAAGCTTAGAAAGAGAAATAAAATTTCGTCTTTGCTTGTTTACGTCCTCCATAAAACGCGAAATTAGGTATTTTCACGTCGTAGTCGTGCAAAAACGGGAAAGAAATGTTCCAAAAAGTGTGATGCACGTGCGAAGTTGTTGTTTTGCTTATTAAACCAATTGTTTTTTTGACGTTCTCGTTGTCGTCCGCGTCGTTGGATCTTAAACTCCCTGGTAGGGAGTTTAAGCAGCAACGTTTTTTAGCGATCGCATTCAACCAGAAGTGAGCGTTTTTCTCTTTCAATATATCTTGACGCTACCAAATTTGTATTGTTAAGTGTCTATACTCTTAAAGAGACATTTTGCCCAAGAATTTCGTCAAAACCACGGCTGAAGAGTGCAAAAAGTCCACTTCCGGTTGACGTGCGCCGCTCAAAACCGTTGTTGCTTAAATTCCCGAGTAACATTCCCAGAAGTCTTTGCGAAAAGTAAACTCGACCCAGTTTCTCTCTCATTTCTTAAGTGGCGAATGTTCAGAATGTTTTCTTGCTATACTTTTTTCCTTCTAATTTGCAGGATGTTACCAGTGCTATTGTTAGTAGCTGTGCACATTTCTTCTCAGTGATGCTACCGAGCTCAAGTCTTTTAATTCTCGACTTTATTAAAGCAACTGACGGAATAATTATCAGTCAGAATATGGAGGTAATTTTCTGTATTTTGTTTCTGTGGTTGAATATTCTATTTTGTCTACAACGGAGGGTTGCAGTTCTCTTGTTTTCAGGCTTAAGGCTCCTTTGTTAACTTTTTTATTTCATTGTTTTCCCAACCAATCCCAAGAGGTCTTCCTAGAGCTGCAAAGTCGTCGCTCTCTTAAGGGGTAAGGGGGCGGGGGGGGAGTGTCCAGGGGATGGGGAGTTTATGTAATTCCCAGGGGCGTTCTGTTCCCATCTGTCCTATACATATATTGTCTTTTCTAAATGTAAATGTTTTATTATTCATTAAACTATTTCCAGCTCAAAACATGCTCACTTAACAGTTCCGTCTTCAAAATATTTGCCTGCTCTTTCTGTGATGTTTATTTTAGAAGAAATTCTTTATACACAAGTTTTGGATCCTCCGAGTAGTAGTTTCTCTACTCTTGCTATGTCTTTGAGGTAGTAATTCGGCTTGAATAATGATGGAGCTCATCGATCTAAACATGCTTACGGGTGCGGGTGATTGTTCAAGACCCTCTCTCTTGAAAGTATAGCTTTGAACTAACGGTCGCAGAAAGCAACTTAGGATTAAGAGCGAATCTTTTTGCGACTTTTTCTTTGTATTCTCCATGTGCTTCCTATACTTGTTAATCCACCTTCGGCCTATTTATCCGATATACTGGGCAAGAAAAAACCCTCCTGAACAACAACAACAACGACAACAACAACAACAAAATGGCTGCGGAAAGTTTACACCTACTCTTAAGTTTTTTTTATGCAACAAGCACAAAATTTGACGTGATATACTGTAATTGTTCTGCAGTTACCAAGAGAAGAGGCAGTCACTCTTGTTGGATCCCTGTTATGTTACCCGAATATGTTTCCTGACATGCCACTTCACCAACCTGGGCACCAAACTAATGAATATCAGCACAAGAGTACTGGCAAGGATATCAAGGTTTGTTATCGCATACTTTAAACCTTAAAAGCCCCTTATCATGAAAATAAGTACTCCCTAGACAGTTCTTAATTCATTACTTAACTACCATTCAGACTTTCAATTCAGTGGGTTTGAAGTTGTTTGCCGTATTTGCTGACTTCCATTCCTCGGATTTGCTTTTAGGGCTCAACTGATTTGCTCCCGGCTAGATGTTGTAGTTGTTTTTAATTCCTCTTATATTGAATTAATTAGTAATTATTTGTCGATTTCATTAATTTTTTATAGCTAGAATATTCGCTAACTTAAGGTTAATCCTTTGTATTGCATTGTGCATCCTTTCTGCGCATAATTTCGCGCCCAATTTGCGCGCGCACATTAAAAAATGGCGGCTTTTCCCTAAAGTCTTCGTGTGATAACCTATCATTTTTTTTTTCTCCTTAAAAAAAAATTACGCTCTGCTTTAAGCGCTCGATATAGTGATTGAATTAAATGAGTGCTGCAGCGGCAATGAATCTGTCAAACAGTTGGTTCATACTTGAGCTGTGCGCATATCGAAAAATGAACCACTTGAGAATATTGGAAAGCACTCGAGAGGCAAGAGTTAACCCTTACGCCGCTTTCGTTCTCTCTTTGTACTTCCTGTGCACTTTATATCTCGATAGTCGCACGCTGACGGATGAACCAATTTTTTTTTATTCGACCCCTTTAGCTAGCATTGTACCATAAAAATCGTCGAGGGAAGTAATAATAGAATAATTTTTAGCGTTTATGGCAAGAGGTTATTTAAACCCTCTATCTTCAGCGATTATTTTCCTTCCTTGTAATAGACCTTCGTGTGTGGTTATTCAGAGACACTCATTAGTTCAGCTTTTGACCCTAGTGCTTATCAATCAGCCAAAGCAAATACGTGTTCGTTGTTTATGTTTAATTACTGTTTTATTTTCCTTAACTACAGGATAAACTCATTGGCGCACTCTTGCGAGCATCAAAACTCGATCCATCATGCAACGCCAGGTTGGTATCGGTAACTTTCTGTTGTCGCAGGCAATAGATCGTTTTCACTCACGTGGTCTGCAGCTATGCAAATTTCTTGGACGAAAGGAAAGTTTTTACATGGGAAAAGAATTCAGTCCCCAAAGGAATTTTTCTGCACACCAACATGGTCGCCGTATCGTAGCCGTGTACACCAATATGGCCACCGTGACGTCATGTCAAAACTATAGATACACCACTTTAGAAACGAGAAGGAAACTGGAGCCGAACTATGTCCCGCAATGGTATCTGGGATCGTTACTAGTGACGCGCCGGTCAGCTATTGGTCAGCTACAGTCCCAGAAGTCTTTGCAGAAGTTACCTCAGCCCAGTTGCTCTCTCATTTTTAAAGTGGTGAATAATAGTTATTTAGTTACGCATGTCTGGAAATTTCTTTAAAGTTTGGGAAAGTAGAGGATGTAACACAAACGAAGGTTGTGCGAGGGGTGGGTCGTAATGTATTTTGGGAAAGCGGTAGGTGATAGCTTTTTCTGTACCCTAACGTTAATTCATCATTGAGACGTTAGATGTTTACGATTAAACTCAACGACAAGAAACCAGCACATATCTTAAGCCGTGAGTTAACAATGATCCGCACCGACCAGCAAAGCAAAGCAGGCAAAGTTGATTTATGCAATTACATGTAACCCCCTGCAAACCCGGTGGCCACCCCACCCAAGCCTGCCTGCCTGGGGTTCAACCGCTGACCCGAAGTGATGTTTCAAAGTTAACCTTGCCTACATTACAATTTAGCCACATTAAATTTTGAGACCAAGTATTTTTCTTGGAATCTGTAAAACATGTTGCGCATCTTTCATTTCAGATGTATAGCTCTCAATGCAATCGGTGTGTTCATAGTGGAAGAGCTCATACACTGCAAAGGTCATCCTAAAGTTCATGACTGTATTTGTGTTCTATTGGCGTCTGTAACTGTAAGTATTAGTGGGTTTGTTTCACAAAATACCACCGTCAACTGCCACTCATAAACTCTGGGCTTGTGCATCTTCGTAAGGGGTTTTGGGAATGCTTGTAAACGGAGAAGGGCTTTATCCGTGGGGGCTTTAAACCGGAATAGTAAAAGCGCTTCGAAACAAGCTAGCAGTGCTGATCAAAACACATTTTGCATTTACTGGTTTTTAATTAAGCTTCAAAACGCTCAATAAATTGAATTCAAAGGGGGGCTTAAAATCGGAGCAAGAGGGGTGGCGCTTATAGAGAGGGAGGGGGGGGACTTTAGTCGGATGTATTCTTTGTTTACAGAGAGATGGGCCTATTACTTGGGGGCTGGGCTTATAAGTGGGGAGGGGAGGGTTAAAAGCGGTTGTTCACGGGAAGCTGTATTAATTTCCCTTTGGTACTGCTTCCATGCTCATTTGCTATAATTTATTGTACACGGTGGTTATGATGCCTTCTTGTAATGGAAGCACTCCGATGAAAGCTGAGCAGTAATTTTCCTGTGGTGCTGTTCATTAGCTGTACAGTTTGGTTCTAACTTTTGAGTCTGTGAATAAAATACTGAAGTGTGACAATTCAAATGAAAGCTACCCTAACTGACCCATACTTGTTCCTGTGGTACTGTTTATTATACTGTGTAAAGTAGTTCGAAGTTTTTAATCTATGGATTAGTGTGACTCCTCAACAGAAAGCTACTTACCAGTACTTTTTTGTGGTACTGCTTACAGTTAAAAATGTACCTTATTTGAGTTTCAATGTATCTAGCACGAAAGTACTTATTGAGGACACTGTTTTTTTCGTCTCCTTCTGGAGACGGAACCTCCATTTTGCGTAGTGATCCGAGCCACACAAAGGTCTAGCCGTTTGAAAGGCAAAGAAAGTACTTCCATTTCTCAGATATTTTACTGCAGACCCTGAGTATTGGTCCGGTCCCGGGAATCGAACCCACGACCTACATCTCTGCGGTCAGGCGCTCTACCGACGGAAAAATTCCTGCCGCAGTTGAAGTTAAGTTCTTGCGAGATGATTACTTTGGATATCACTGAAAGCTGTTAATCAGTTTTTTTGTGGTTGTTATATACCCTTTACACAAGGTGTTTTAACGTAGTTAGGTATATTCTACCGATTTGATTCCAAATGTAGTAATCAAAGGGAAAGCTATTACCAGTGTTAATCGTGGCGCTATAAAATTGCGCTGTTTAAGGTGCTTCTAAAATTCGAGTTTGTGGATGAATCGAAAGTGCGACCACTACTTGAAAGTTGTTGGTGTTGCCTCTTTGGAAAGCAGTTGAAATTTTGTCTTGTGTGTTTGTTTCTAATACAAGGTGTTCCTTTTCTTCCAGTTTCACAACAAGTCCATTTGTCACGTGGCCTGTGAGGTCGTGCACTTTCTCTCTGAGTACTACCATGAACTGTGTGTGTTTGACCAAAGTCTTCCTCTAAAGATTGTCGAGGTTGGTAGCCTAACACCTTCGGAAGAGTACATAAATCTCTGTGGCATTATTGCTTGACTGCCTGTCAGCAATTCAATTTTTTACATATAATATTGTGTTGGGAGTGTTACCCAAGTCTCTTTGGCAACATAATCATCTTCCAAACGTGAAAGGGATTGTTTGACTTTTAGCGCTTGTGATTTTCTGACGTAACCGTGCCTTGTGAATTCAAGCTTGTGGCTGAAGGATGAATCAAAGTTGATATTTTTAGTCTACGTCCATTGAATCCCTCCATGAGATTGCGCGAACCTCTTCAGCAGTACCTTTGTATGGTACTATAATACTGTATAACCAGACTCTAAGTTTTGAGTCTTCTTAGACAGTGCTTCCGTCTGGCTCTAATTAGTTTTCAGGAGGGGGTGGGGTTGTGATTAACTGGCTTTTTTTAGGAATAAAACGCACAGTTGTCTTCCTTTACAGGTTCTTTGTCACGCCATTGTAAATCTTCTTCCTGGGGGAGAATCGAGTCAAGTTCAAGAGAAGCACCAGGTGAGAGTGTATACGATGATAAAGCAAGGTCCACTTCATAGGATTTACGCCACGAGTTTTGCCAACCAAAATTTTAATCCTATTTTAGCGCTAATCGTCCTTTCAGGAACCAGGCCGTGAGACTTTTTTTGGGACATTTTTTTTTCATTGGCCATTGCGAGGTTGCACAGGAAGTTGGTTCTAAATTTGTTTCCCTAAACAGTCCCTTTGTCCAATTCGATACAACGTTGACCCAGTGACGTACTAGCTAATAGAACTATCCATGCATTTCCACACCTAAGCTTTCCCAATTTATCAGTGTCGTCACCTTCAGCTTATTGTCAAAATCGTAGCATGGCGGTTTTATCTGGCGCACTACTGAGTGGCGAAGCCGCAACAGAGCGCGCGAACGAGCGGTAAAGGTGGCGGTTTCTTGTTGCTCCCCCCCCAATCTCCTCGAAGTTTCACTGCCCTCGCCCACCTTGGCTTGGTTGCACGCCAGACCAAAACCGCCATGCTACGCAGGCTAAAATCTGACCAATGCTCGACGCCTTTGCTTCACGTAGGTTTTGGTGTCTGTTTTGATGTGTCTGCTGGACTGGATTATGGTGATACCGGTTTCAAAGCTGATGTCGAAAACACATGAAGACGAGAATGTCAGCATCCTGTCAAGAGTCTTCCAGGTAATTGTAGCGAAACCTCTGCTAACGGACCCCCTCCGTATGCGGAAACCTCCTGTCAGGGGACACTTACCGTATTTACTCGATTAAACGCCGCAGATGGAAGCAAAATTACCAATAAACGCCGCACCCAATGAGAAAAATTCGGCGTGTATTCGATGATTGTTAGAAAAAAAAAAACTCGATGCAACTAAGTAATCTAGACCATCCAGTCAATTAGGATCATCTCTCAGCAAAACAGAGGGACGTTGGAACTTTAAACATCTTTCTATTTTACATAATATGTACAAAATTTGTAAATATTATCTAAAACTGAAAGATGTTTAAAGTTCCAATGTCTTGCTTTTTAAGGTGAGAGAGGATCGTAATTGTCCGGATGGTCTAGATCGTTTAATGATTTATCGTAGTTCTTGTCAGTGATTAAAGAAATGTGATTTTGAAATAAACGCCGCCCTTCTACAAACGCTACATAGGAAACGCTTGAAATTTGATAAACGCCGCGGCTTTAAATCGAATAAATGCGAATAATGCCTACTTACTTATACAGGGAAATAATGAAGCAGCTCGGATACAAGGGACTTTGAAGTACCGTCCCTTTACTCGGTGCATTACCAGACTTGTACGTGTAAACAGTCGGATTTCGTCTTGAACGGCTGCTTATTTCTTCCCCGACCAGTTCCGTCTCTTTTGACGCGTTTAAAGTCCATTAATCGTAGTCTCAGGCACATAAAAATAATGTATTTTTTAACCTCCTTCAAGAGGATACCTCTTTTTAGGAGATACATTTTGTGCTCCCATGGTTTCCAATTACGGAGGTTTGACAGCACCATAACCCAAAACAACATTAGCGGTTAAAGTAAATATGACTCGCCACACGTTCCATATTTTTTTAATTTTTCACGAGGACTCAAACTTGAAATGAGACACGACGGCTGAAACGCTGTTGGCTTTCATCGATAACTTTTATCAATTAAATTTATCAATTAATTTAACCACTAGGTTTTGAAGATGGCTGCTGCTAATAAAGGTCCCAAAAAACGAACCAAACAGCTAAACATATCCACTATCATCAGCGGTGATGGACGACCAATCAGATTAGGACGTGTACAGGAAGGAGGCCGAAATAGCTGCCCTACCCCACCAGCCCTGTTACTGACCCGCTCTGACAGTGGCTCTGATGAAGGTAACATGCCTACTCGATATTCGTTTTGTGGTTGCGTGGAACTGGGTCGGTGTTGGCCTTCGGGTGCACTATGGGACTGTTTAGGGGACGAGAATTGGTCAGTTTCCCACCAACCTTTAACAGCCAATTATGAAGAAGGCGTCCCAAAAATAGTACCATGGTGCAATTTGGTACAACACCGACAGTCACCGAAACCTCAAATGGCCAATTGCCAAGTTTGACACACAGAATGAACATATCATAACGGGTTTGTTGGAACAGGCGTTGCACCAAGTAGTAATCGGTGCAACCTTCGTCATACCTGAGAGGTTGCGTGACGATGATCTTGAAAACTCGATGTTTCACGAGATTTTTGAACAACTGATGCTTGTCCATTTTCTGATCGCTAATATTTCCTTATAGTTACGACACGCAGAGAGCTGAATAAAGGCTACTTAGATTAACAGGCTCTTGATCGTAGAAGTCAAATTTTATTTACCATTTACCTTTCTATGAAATCCTTATGCAGGTGAAACAAAATGTAAACAATGACGTCAGCGTCCCTTATATGCTGCAAAATTCTCGAGCTATGGGTTACACAACTGCACTCGCTTTAAATTCTAAAATTTTCATAGCATGTATTTCCTTTTTGATGCGGACCTTCGTCCTTATTATATATTACAATATTTTTTTGCTGAAAACATCAGTTAATTTAACTCGCAACACTCATCTGTTGTTTTATTCTGCTCTGTAGAAATGGGTGGACAAGATACTTTTGACTTCCCACCCAAGTCGGATCCTGTGGAGCTAACAGCTACAGCGGTGCGTAACTTGTGTCTTTATGATATCGCTACAGTTGATGTACCCCCCTTCCCCCCACCCGCCAAAAAGGACAACAAATATTAGTCAAGAAGACGGGATGTGTTGGCGTAAATAAGAAAAATGTTGAATGGCATTGGAAAGTTAAGCAGTGTATCAACAACAAATGTCTGCAGGAGAGACGGAGATGTTCTGTTAAATACACTAGAAGATAGCTGAGTTACACACAAGGGTTCCTTTGTTCCTCAAAACAAAATTTACATCAATATTACCACCATATATGTTAAGTGTATGGGGTAGTCCACTAAAATTTGCATCCCGGCTTTACTAATATCCACAATAAATACACTTCCACATTCAGCGATAGCATGTAATGTATCAGGCTTCCAAAAGCTGCAGGGCGCAAGACTGTGCTCTAAGGAAAATTTTCAAGCATTTTAGCTGGGGTGCCCAGGCCTAAAGATGGTCGCCCAAATGAAATTTTAGTTAGGGTGCCCAGGCCTCCAGGTTGGTCGCCCAAGTTAATAAATCAGTGCGTTGTTAGTTGATTATTTTCTAAACAAGACAAGCAAGGAACATATGAGACACAGGGGACACGAGGAGGGCAGGGAACACAGGGGACACAAGGAGACACTGGGGAGACAAGGGACACAAGAGGACACAAGGGACACAGGGGACATGGGACACAAGGAGACACAGGGGACACAATGGACACAGCGGACAAAAGGGGATACAGGGGACACAAGGAACACAAGGGGACACAGGGACACAGGGGACACAAGGGACACAGGAGACACAAGGGACACAGGGGACACAACGGAACACTGGGGACATAGGGGACAGGTGTGACACAAGGGACACAGGGGACATGGGACACAAAAGGGGACACAAGGGGCACAATGGACACAGGAGACAAAAGGGGACACAGAGGACACAAGGGGACACAAGGAACACAAGAGAACACAGGGGACACAAGGGACACAGGAGACACAAGGAACACAAGGGGACACAGGTGACAAAAAAGGGACAGAGGACACAGGGACATAAGGGGACACAGGACAGAGGACACAAAGGGACTCAGGGACACAGAGGACACAAGGGAACACAGGGACACAGGGGAGACAAGGGGACACATGGAACACAAGGAGACACAGGGGACACAAGGGGACAAAAAGGGACACAGGGGACATGAGGGACACAAGGGACAGAGAGGACACAGGGGACACGGGACACAAGGAACACAGGACACAAGGGGACACAGGGGGACACAAGGGGATGTAGGGGACACAGGTGACAAAAGGAACACAGAGGGGACACAAAGGGACACAAGGGGACATAAAGGGACACAGGACAGAGGACACAAGGGACTCAGGGGACACAAGGGACACAGGGAGACAAGGGACACAAGGAGACAAGGGGACACATGGGACACAAGGAGACTCAGGGACACAAAGGGGACAAAAGGACACGGGACATGAGGGGACACAAGGGACAGAGGACACAGGGGACACGGGACACAAGGAACACAGGACACAAGGGGACACAAGGGGATGTAGGGGACACAGGGGACACAGAGGACACAGGGGACACGGGACACAGGGAACATGGGACACAAGGGATAGAGGAGACAGTAATTAAGATTGTGGTCAGTTTAGGTAATTTTTGATAAAAAAATGTTTGTGTCAAAAAATAAGGACACTATTCTTTTTACTCATCACACGAGGTGAATTTGCTTGATATTTTATCAACTTCTCCCCACTACTTCCGTAGGAAATGAATAGGGGCAACAAATGAGATTTCAAATTTGGATCCTAGGTTTTAAAGGGTTAAGAGAGAGTTGACTGTATCCTGAAAATTTTAAAACGCTGTGACTAAGACATTATGCGAGAGGTGGGCTGTGTAGGGTGACGGGCACTTGTCGAATGTCTAAATTGTACTGCAATTAATTTCAGGTATTAACGCACTTGGTCAATCATCTTGGTCACTATCCCCTTGGCGCTGGTCCGTCGAGAATGGACAGTTTAATCAGCGAACATGAAGATAATCCAAGCGTGGAAGAAAATGAGCTCTTGTCCAGTATTTTGTCTGCTCCTAATGTGCAGGTCGGTTCCATATCTGCTGCTGACAATTCTTATTTTTCTTCCTCTTCTTCACTCCAAGGTGTTCTTACTTGATTTGTTTCGTTCCTTTCAGTTTTTTGCACTCAATGACAGGGTATTGATATCTTTGGTGGAACTTACACTAGAGGTGAGATGCTTAAATTGCCGTTTGGATTGAAATCCTGAACTCTTCTCGACTTCTTCGAGAGCAAGCGACTGGCAAAAAGGTATAGGGGAGAGGAGGGTGAAGCAGAGCAGAGCAGAGAGGGGATGTGTAATCAGTTTTTGAGCCCTGTGCAATGGGTGGGTTGGCGTCTCGATCTCTAGCCGCCTTCGCAAAGTTCCAGGGGTTGTTACTCCTTCGTGACGAGTCAGAAAGAACGTCTTACAATGAGGCTAATCCAGGGCTGTCACTGAAGACCCGGAGCTGAGGATTTCGCCCTGCTAATACAAGCATGACCCCTGGCTACTTTCATAATAAACAAAGGGAAAATGAAAAGAAAAGAACTTCCTAGCTGTTCAATTCCCTACCTACTAACTGCTTGTATCCGGCAACTTGAAATCTTACTGACAACCCTGCTATCTTAATGACAACAGATGATTAAAGGTTGATTGCAGGATCTTTCTAATTTTTCCAGGACACACCTGATTCTGTCGTGTACCAGGCCCCCGCGAGCACAGCGGCCACACAAGTTCGAATGATCACGAGGGATATGACGGGTAAAAATGTTTGGGACTTAACGCTATTACACGGGTCTTCGGCTACGCATAATGGGCAGTACCAATATACTGGTAAGATAATGTGTGATAGGTTGTTCGAGTTCTGGTTTTGTGGCTAAAATTGGCCATTATTTGTTGTAAGGGCTATGCTTAATATTCTTTAAGCTTCAACTTGGTAGTTATCAAATCAGGAAAGTGAAGAAATTATATTGCTAGCTGTACCACTGAAAACAACAGTCAAAGTCTTGTGACTGCTAGGCCGACACCATGAGCCGTTCTTAAATACTTTGTGCCCACTGTACAACGGTCCATGTGTAGACGTCTTCCTTCTTCCTTTGTTAATCTTACTGACTTTGTTTCCGTAATCAGGAGCAATGTGCCATTTTTGGAAAGGTCACCTGTATAGTCGGCTTTCTCTCTGTCCTCTCATTTCTTATTTTCTTGACGAAGCTCTTTTGCAGTGGGTGGGTGAAGAGGGCCAATTGCTTGAGGAATTATTTGCACTAATTCACTTATAAACTCACTTTTTGTATAGACTCTTTTACACTCTTATTTCAAGTAACCATAATCGGTCATCTGACTCAACAGACAAGACAATTTTGTTTGAAATTTAGCTTAGTCCTGAATTAACGTTAACTATCTATCGAGCAGCCCGTGTCAGGGTGGTGAAACGAGGCCATACACATCCAACGAGCCAAATGGCTTCTTGAAGGAGGCCACATTAGCTCTTTACCACCCTTGTGTTATTCATGTTCACTTTCTGATATTTGATAAACCGCATTTTGTGGTCTATGTCGATTTATCTGTCATCCCTCTTTTTCCCGAAAAGAAGCAACAAATAACCATTCAATTGAAGAATTGATCGATGAAGAAGATGCAAGCCGTAGTAAATATCATCCACTCATAAAAGCCAGGAAATGTTCAACACCTGTTCCTGATGATAGACTCGATGAGGTGAGCCTTTCATGTCTTTGTTTCTGTGTCATTGTGAGTAAGTAAGTGTTAATTTAGCACCGTTCCATGCGGCTCCTACTGGAGACGGAACCACCATTTGTATGTTGTCAATCGAACCACGCAGAAGTAAAGCTGTTTTCTGGGCAAAGGTAGCTCCTTCTTCCTCGGTTGTTTTTAGACTCCGAGTATTGGCGACCCCGGGAATTGCGCCCGCCACCTCCTGTTCTGCGGTACAGCGCTCTATCAAACGACTAAGCTAACCGTTTTCCTTTTTCTTCCGTTCTTCCTTCTTTAATGCTACGCTTAGTCCCCTGCTTCCTTAATAGTTATTTTCCCTTATCTCCTTGCCTGCTCACTCCTCCTCTTTATCTTCCTTGTCTTTCCTTTTTCTTATTTTTTATGTTTTAAACTTAAACCACTCTTTTTTGAGGATCCTCAATGGCGAACGTTCCCGGGGATTGTTGACTAATGACCAGGCCCACCTTCAATATCATTTAAAACTGAACCATAGTCATACTAGGGGTTTACTTAAGAATCCAGGAGAATCTCACCGTACGAAATATTGTAAAACAGCGCCTTGAAACAATGGTGAACTTGGAGAAATGTAAGAAATAAGAAAGAGCATTTGCTGGAAATAATTTAAATATGGGTCACATTAGAAAACACACCATTTGTTCCTTTTGTATTTGAAGCTCCTGTGGGCAGGGCAGAAAAACCGCTGATTGGTTGCCGTTTTTCGCGGCAGTTTGTGCTCTCCGCTGACCATCTTACAACGAATCAAGTAGTCTACAAAAAGAGCAAAGTTTGAAGCCAAATACATAGTTAACCATGACTAGTTCGGTGATTATGATCTGATATTCCCAAACTAGAACTCATTGACAGGCGATGTCAAGAGTTGTAGCGAAATCAGATTAGGAATACACTTTAGGGTGCTTGCTGAAAATGCGCGGGACAGTGTGTAGTTCATAGAGACATTATACGACCAATAGCTCTTAAACAATTTGCAAAAATAAGAAACAGGTGGAGTATTTAAGGTTCACAATTCGACCAACCAAAAGGCTAAAAGCCAAGAAGCAAAATAAAAATACGTAAAAAAATCGAACAGTACGTTTTTCTGTGGCTTGCTGTTTTTTGTTTTGCATCCCCTCGCGGTGACAACACTCGAACGTAATCGCCGGTGAGAAGCTTCGACAAATGTACAGCCAATCTTACCTCTAAAAGGATCGATCCTCTTGCACTTAGAAGGTAGATAGCAGCGCAAAATATATTTCCTTGGACAAGTAAAAAAGGAAAAGATTTGTAAACATCAAACTCTTCGCCAACGGCTTGTGTCCACTTACTGACTGGTAGGCGCCAGCTTCCCGGCCTCATGCTTTGCGCGGGAAATTATGAATGAAACAAGCTTCAAAAATGTCCAAAAATAGTTACCGACCGCTTCACTGTCAAGTTCCGGTCTTTTTGCGTGCGTTTCCGGCGGAAAAAGAACGTCCAAAGTTGATTAAATAATGGAAAATGTTTGTGAACGTGGCTCCAGATTAAGAAGCGTGTCAGAAAAGTGTTGGGGTGCCACTAATTACTATTCGGGAAAAGAGGCTGTTTTACGTGGCTACTCTAGGCCGGTTTGGCTATGTTTTGGTCATGCAAAAAAAATTGCAAGTGGAAAGTCAAAGGAGGTGCTGTTTTCCGAGTGAAAATGCCTGCACGCAAAGGAACAATTTACTGCCATGTCCGCAGAGGATTCTCACCGTGGCAACAAACCTTGAAAACTACCAAGGAGGCGCATTTCTTTGCCCAGGCCACCTAAATCTCGTGGACGAAGCTCCCATATTTACCAACCACGCCCTCTACAAACCCCCCTACTACGAGAAAGGTATGTTTCTTTTACACTCAAACAACAGTCAAAATGTACTGAAACAGATCATACATTCTTAGTTTTGTTTTAGAAAATATTCATATTTTGCATTAAATTTTGCCCTATACATTTGTAGACAAAATGTACTACTTCAGTCCTATGTACTACCCCAGAAAAGAAAACAACTTGGAGGGATGGAACCTCTCAGACCGCCCCTTTGCAGAGTGTTAATGAGCTAGCAGAGGCAAAACAATTAATCACCAAATTACAGCGCGAAAAGGCAGCAGTAAAAAAGAAAGATGCAACAAGCTAGAAGGTATTGTATTGACGTACTCTTAATTTCCACACATTCAAAACAAAGATGACTAGTTTCAACCTTTAATAGAAATATTTTTTATTAATTTTCAGAGCCAACATTTGATGAGCAGTTCAAAACGTTCCACAAGTGTCTCACTAAACATTACAAGGATGGAGGGCAGCGGCTATACGACCCTGCAGACATGGAAAAATTTGCCAACAAAGTGCACCCCTGGATTGTTCGACCGTGCCTTGTGTCTAGTCAAGAATGATGAAAAACAACAGCTTTCTAAGAAAAGACACGAAATACAGAGACTGCGAGTTGTGGCACTGCTTCATCAGCTGTCTTACTTTAGAAACCAAGTGTGTATAATAATAATAAAAAATAAAATAAATAATAATACTAATAATGATAATGGTAATGATAATAATAATAATAATAATAATAATAATAATAATAATAATAATAATAGCAGGAACCATACTTTAGGAAGACACTTAAATTAAACACCATGGTGTGTAATAGACAGAAGTGTTGCTTGTTTGTTTTCAACAGGAAAACAATCGCTTACAACAAGACTGTGGGTTGCACTTGTCCTTTCATGGTGCCAGTGATGATGCTTTGACAGCTGGCTCACTTCTGGGGTTTAGCACTCACCCGAGAAGTGTGCTAAATCATAAAAAAGGATTGTCTGGAAAAAGCATTCACAAGACACAAGCCATCGTTGAGAGTGCCATAAAGGTACATGTATTTACATACTGAAACAATTCATTATTAAACATCTGCCACTGCACAACACCCTGGCCAAAACAATAAGTTGACACAAGGTGAGGTGGCTGGATGTGAAGAAGCAGGGGCTAAATAGAAGGCACAAGGACCTTGTGACAAGGAGACAAAAACAACAAAAATAGAGTGATTTTATTTGAACCGTGAAACAGATAGTAACAAACAGTGCAAAATAGCAAGAGGTAAACAACAGAAGACAATGGAATTAATACATAATAGTGCGTAGTATTCTAAAAAGCTGTTTCACGGTTTAAGTAAAATGACTCTAATTTATCAGTCCATAGATGTACACTGATCCAGTTAAAAATTTCCTCCCCAACAGAGTTTCTTCTTGACTTGTTCATCTCTGTGAGGCAAAACCTTGGAAACTCTGCAAAAATACCCAGAGGACAAAAGGAAATATCAGGTAGAATCAATATCGCTGTAACAACCCATTCCATAACAAAACAAAGCATTTCCTATACAAGATATACCTGAAACAAACCTTTATCTTTTTCCAATGTAGCCTTATTATCTACCCTCTCTTGATGCAACCGTGGACCAAAGAAGCTTCCCCTTAGGGTATGCCTGGAAGGGTCAAGAACCAGACCCACTGTTGGCTTGTGATGCAGCAGATTGCAGAGCAGATGACAATCTCCTACTTGCAGTTCAGCGCTTCAACTGTGGCCACACATTTCAAAAGTTGTCTTGGTAGTTACTCAAACTGTAACGATCATAACTACTCAATACTGTGTGGTGTGTCAAGTGCTCCATTTGCTCTGAGCAACTTCCTTTAAGAATCCAAGAACTTGCAGACAGTTTCAACAAAAGGTTTACTGGCAGGAAATGATGAAACTGACGGAAGCAATGATAATCATGATGACGACGACGATGATGATGGAAGTGGCAACTCAGATGATGATGACAGTGATGATGATGATAGCAAACCTGATACACTAGCAAATAAGATACTCATTAAAGCAAAACAATCCCTTTTGCATCTTCCACAAAGTGCTTTATTTAAGTACAGCAACAAAAATTCCAAGAATGTAAACTCCACCGACTCTACTGGAGAAGCAGTAATTGTTAATACTAGTATGGTGTGTGTCACATGTGGCAGGGTCTGTAAGAGCAAAGGGGGCTTGACTCAGCATCAGAACACCCACAAAGGGGTAAATAGTTAAGTGTTTCCCTGAAATGAGAATAACAAAACAATAATCATTTCCTTTTTTAGAAGCAAATCCAAACAAATAATACAAGCCCTTTGTTTCATGTAAAATACCTTGAATAGGAATAGGCATGATAACACAGGAGAGAAACCTTGAACAATGCCTTTGTTGTTGCCTTTGTCTTGCTATAGGTATCTCAAAATAATGCAACTAGCTAGATAACAAATAAGTGATCTTGTGCTTGTGCTTGCATTTGGAATTTGGTCCATACAATATTATATGAGATCTTTGCATTATAGAAGATTAACTCAGCCCAAGTACTATGCCAGTGAGAAAAATATAGTGATAGTCCTGTCGAGAATACTAATAAGGGACAATGTGATGTACAGGAGTAAGATAGTGTCTTCAAAATATTCGATGTTATTTTGAACATGTAAATATAATAAGATTTTCACTTCAAAATACCACATTGTATATGAGCAAGGATTGTGTATAACTCTGCTAATTCTGGATACATGTAAGCTTAAAAATTCATCCTTAAAATTTCACCTTTCTTTAAAACAACCTAATTTTGTACAGTAAAATCATTCCAAATCTAAATCAGTCCAAAAACAAAGTTATTAACTGTATAAATCAGTTGGTATAAATTGATCTAAAGAAATTACAAATTGGACAACGCGTACAAAAAAATAATTTCGCTTCTAGCGGAACAATGTAAACAATTCACACCAAGGAATTCATTGAACAGTGTGGATATATATAACCTAGAATCAAAAGCCCATTAAACTTGTAACTCAGGGTGCTATGAAGTGCTATTTTGTTTGAAAGTTTGGTTACTTTTAGCAATGGCTTCGCCAACTGTTAGGTGCCGCATTATACGCCTGCACGCAGCGCACGCTGCACCGCCGCAATCTCGTGGAGGATAAATAGCATTCAATGCAAATTTCGGTTAACTCATTAACTCTGAAAACGTTCACTATGTCAAAAGACGAAAAATGTCTTACCTTTAAACTCAGTTGTGTAACTATCGGATCACCGAGACTTGTTGCAGGAAAACCAAACAATCGCGTAGAAGAAAGTTGATCGAAAAAAGCACATGGTTTGCTTGGCACGACTCCGTCCGTTTAACGTAATACAATCACAAAGATTACCTCAAGGCGAAGCAAAACAAAATGATACCATTATATACAAGACCTTTCAGTGATGTATTTCAACACAGTGCTCTTCAAATTTCCGCCAAATGTCTCACATTCATGATCGCTCGATTGTAGCTCCTTCGGATCGCTCATTCTTTTGAACCAACAGCATCTGCATGTGGTCAGCGGAAGGCGCAAGCGCATGCTCTCAGTGGAATTTTTTTAACCAATCAGCGGTTTTTCTGCCCTGCCGCTCCTGTGTAGTATTGGATCCTCTAGCCACGAGTGTCTATTGCACCCAGACCTCTCTCTGAATGAACCCGGCCCCAACCCCGAGGGTGTGTTGGGAGACATGGAATTTGACGTCATTGACGCTGTCCTGGAACAAAACTTCAGCGAAAAAAGACGTATGGAGAACGATGTTAATGAACCGAGGTTCGTACTTTTCACCTAAAGCTCAGTCGTTATTTAGTTGATATCTTAGGACTGCTACTCTGCTACACAGCCGTTCTTTGTTTCGTCACGCAACGCTCCTCTCCCTCCTCTTCCTCCTGTGAGAAGGAGCGTTGCGTGAGGAGACAAGGAACGGCTTTGTAACAGACTGTAGGACTGCTGAACCGGGAACAATTAGCCCGCACACAAGCTCTCCATTTGGGTTATTGTGAAAAGTCACGCGGGGGCGGCGTCACGCGAAAGGAGACTCGAGGGAGGGGTGAGAAAAGAAAGGGGGGCTGTCCATTCCCTCACCCTTCGCGGCTTTGCTGCTCGCTTGCGCGAACTTTCGCAGCGCGCTTCGCTTGCCTTTCGAAATGGAGAGCTTGCTCGCAGGCTACGGATTAATTAGAGCAATTTATAATTTGCGAGAATAATTTTAATTTCTGTTTGTTTTGTAGTTTATCGTCGCTTGCAGCTTCTCCTCCCCCATATGAAGTTCCTATGTCACCATTCCAGTTGTGCCGGTTTGTAGTTAGTCAGACTGGTTTGATAGCTTCAGAAAAAAGGTGAGAAAATTAAGAGCCTGGATCAATATTACAGACATGACAATACCTTTTGCGTTTCTTTGTTCTTAAGGAGGTGCAGTGATTTGAAGTAAAAGATAGTGTAACAATTTCATTTCACATTTGTGTTAAATTGCAGAGCAAAAATCGATCTTCTGAGAAGGAATGACCGCTTTTTGCGTGAGTTAAAGAGCCTAGATAATCGACGCATGTAAGTAAACAGAGAGCATTTAATTGAGCTACTTTAAGTGTGCTCAACATATCAGAGCTTATGGCAAATGGTATGTACTTGGATAGTATACTCTCTTGTAGGAGTTTTATAAAATCTTGTTGTTGTTGTGGTCGTTTTTTGATGAAGTTGGGGGTGGTTTTTTTGTTAGCCTGTTCGTGCCAAGCTCTCAGTTGCTGGGACGTCGCGAAAACAAACTTTAAGCGAAAATAGGACGCGCGTGATGTGGGGAAGAGGACGGTGGCGGGAAAGAAGAAACCAACACCTCTCCCAACCCCCTCCCGCGTTTTTTCGCATTAGTTTCTCACGATCTCTGCAAATTACTATCTTGGAGCCTGCAGCTGGCTATTTGTAACGCTTTTTATTGTTATTTGTTTCAGTCGTGAGACGCACAAAGTAGCCCTACTTTACGTGGCCCAGGGTCAGGAAGACAAAACTTCTATTATGTCCAACTCTGTCGGTAGCGAAGAATATGAACGCTTCGTAGCAGGCCTAGCGTGGGAGGTACTGACAGTGTAACGTAGATAAACCCTCAAGTTAAAACACGCATGGGGAGTGGACAGCACGGTGGTCCGGTGGTCCAGTGGTCCTGAGATTCTGAATGCAAATCATTTTCTTTCTTTTAAGAAGCCAAAAAATAAATATAACTTTCGAGTGTACTTTTAAGAAACGTTAGTGGCAGGCGCTCAAACGCGCAGGGAAAAGAAGAGTTGTACTCGCGAGAAGCGCGTAGAGAACGTAAGCACAATAGAAGAGTCTCTGAAGTGAAGACACCACTCCCTTCTCTCGCGCGTCTTTCGCCCTTCCGCGCGCGGCTCAGCTTCCATTTCTGTTTTCCCGCGCCAAGCAAAGGCTTTGCCTCAGAAACAAGCTAAGCACTTTTACCTATTCTATCAGCAGTTTTCTTTGGGTCATTCTCAATAAAATTATTTACAATCTGTGTTTTTATCAGGTGGATCTTTCCACGCACACAGGATTTCTTGGTGGATTGAGAGAAATCTCTCGACTGGTACCACTGCCCCATATTACTGTAATTCAACTACTGAAGTGATGTTTCACGCGTCTACTAGGATGCCGTTAGCTACCGACAGCACCGGCTTCAACAAAAGGTGAAACGTCCTTCCATTTAAACTATAGTAGTATATTGCCTTACTAATGTGACCGCACCCCATTCGAACTCATTAAAATAACCCTTTGTGGGGTTTATTATTGTACCCTCCCTTCTGTTAAATTAAGCGCGGAATTTCAGTCATTGCGGAAAGTCGTTCGTTATTTAGAAAAAGTTCTCTTTGCTGCTGCATTTTTGACAGCATTTTGTCGCTGAAGAGCGCTTATCTGTTATCGCACGTTTTCTGTAATAAGTTGCGTCTTTGCGGCACTCATTTCACGTCCCATGCGTCCGGTTTTTCTATCCGTTTATTGCATGTTTCCGTGCACCAAACGCACGTTCCTTAAGTTCTGCTCGTTCCTTGTACCACTTGAACCCTTTCTTGCGGGTCGTATGTCTCCTACACTATTCCTACACCAAGCGTACACTTCCTGTACCAATATCATGTTTATCCGCTCCTGTCGCTGTGCGCGTCGAAAATTGATCAGTATATGCCTCAATCGAGCTTACGATATTGTTGTTTCGTCAGGTCCGTCACCTTGGCAACGATGAAGTTCATCGTGTGGTCAGAGCATTACAGAGATTACAGGCACGGCATCGTAAACACTGAGTTTGCGGATGTGATGATTGTGATTTACCCACTGGAGAACCGCCTGTTTAGAATTCAAATCATCAAGAAACCCCAGGTTGAAAAGCTATGCACGATAAATGGTTCGCCACTTTCGAAACGAGAAAAGAACTGGAGCCGAAATACGCCCGCAGTTGTTCCTGGGATCGTTACTGGGGCGCGTCTCGTAACAATCCCAGAAGTCTTTGCGAAATTTCACTTGGCCAGGAGCCCATCATCGGCTCCTGACTTGGTCCTGTTTTCTTCGTTTTTAAAGTGGCGAGTTGCGATAACTTCGTAGAAAAATTTAAAAGAGAAAAGGAGAATTGAAAAAAGCTAAATAGAAATAAGTTAGGCTAGTACGACATTAAAGGGATCTAGTCTGACGAATTAAGCAGAAAACATCTTAACAGTGGCAAATTTATCTTCTTTCTCAACTTAACTGATGTCAAAATAATAGCTAATTAATTCTTATTTCACTTTTTGTGCGACAGCGTTGAGCTACACGTATATAAACGGACGCAAAAAGCTCCCAACATATTTGGGCTCAACATTGTCCCAACAATGTTGCAAATTGTTGCGTCCGTTTGCACGTAGCTAAAAAATTAGATGGGTTTCAAACTTTAGGTAGCAAAAACCAATAACACGGCCACATTTAAAATCCCAAACAGCAGAATCTCATATAATTTCACCCCGTTAATACGGCCAATTTTTTTATCCATTGGTGACCATGTTAACGGGGTTCCACTGCAGTTAGCCTGTTTGTACCGTTGTGCTCCGAGATTCTTTCAAATATTCTTTCTCATTGGTCCCCCGATTATTCGTATCTACAGTTAATTGCGATTGATGCATTACTTTTCTTTTCCCCGCTTCTTCCTAGGTCCCAACATTCGGACCCCTGTTTGATGGCGCCTTAGTGGACAGACAAGTTTTACCATCTCTCGTCAGGGCTACGGCCATCAATGCAAGTAAAGCAAGCCGGGAGCTTCTTCCGGTCTATGAGCGATAGTATCCTTTCTATAAGTAAACAGAGAGAGTGGGCGTCTTGCAGGTTATCTGTTTTTGGTGGGGGGAGGGGGCGGGGAGGGGGACGACGCGCCTGGCGAACGGGTAAGAACGCGTGCAGCGAACCGCCGGGTTGTAACTTCTTGCTTAAGTAAGACAAAATAAATCCGGAACCAAACGCGACAGCTGATGCCCGGACAAAAGAAAAGAAAGATAGGCTCAAGCCAAACGTCAAACTTTTCATAAGATGAACCAAACTTAGTGAGTTACGTTCATGACAAGTTTGATGTTTGGCTCAGTTAAGTTCGTCTGAATGAGTTTGGATCGTCCAACACGTTCTATCCGTCTGATTTAGTAACAGAACGGGAACGTCAGTTGACGACGGCGCGCGGAAATTAAACAACTGGCTTGACCAATGGCAGAGCGGCAAATTGGGCACCGGAAGTCGTGTTTAGTCCTTTCCGTGCGCTTTCCCGTCGTCAACTGACGTTCCCGTCCTGATGCTAAATCAGCCTAATCAGACTGATAGAAGGTCTGAGAATCGTCTCTGAGACAAACGTCGAAAATGAGTCCGAGACAAACGTTGAATTCCTTATGACTGGTAAGAAAAGGATCGCCAAGGTCACTGATAAAACATTCAGCTACTGAAGTAATTGTATCAGTCGCATAAAACAACCATAATTGGAGCTAGCGCAGCTATCATGCGACCTTTTTGATCGCTGATTTAATTGCATTTTGGCATCAAATATTATCTAGGGTGACTTATTCGTCATCTAGTCACGTTCTATGTTTGAAGTTTTCTCTTTAATAACCCAATAGCTACGAAGAACGCGAAAAATGCATTGAACGTATAGTGAAGAACCACAAGGAACCCACAACATTCGAAGAATACTCCTCACTCGTGTTTTGCCCTGTGCCCAGGTCCCCTGGAAGTGAACCTCCCACTCCGCTGTTGTCAGCGGCTGAACGCTATCCTATGTTGCGCACGCAGACGGCGCCCAGTAGCAGTTTCTCTGACAACGAAAAATCGTCCGTTCGATTTCGATCAAAAAGTTCGGTGACGTCTCCAAGGATATTGAGTAGCAAACTTGGTGAGTACTAGATTCATGCACTATTGACGCCAACTGGCTCTTCCTTTGTGTGGCTGCAGATGTTTCGGCGTTTTACCAGACTTGAGAACGACAGCTGCTTGCTCACTACAAGTAATGTTACACGGGACGATTCGCAATGACGATTTTTAGCGCAGCACAGATTTACAACGTCGTAGCCACATTGTTTCGAATGGTGGCAACATAGTTCCAACATCGCAATGGCATCTTGCGATAAAAGTCGTGGTTGCGAACCGTCCTATTTAACATCACCTTACATCACGCGGCAGCAAAATCCTGCTTTCAGTTCGCCTCCATCCCAGCGGCTACTCCGGGAATTTCTACCCTTAGTAATGACGGAGAGGGAAGAGAGGAGGGGAGAGGTTAATTTTAGGGAGGATATCTTTAGGGCGCAATTGTATTAAAAGTAATAACAGCATTGTGTGATTCTGATTTTGGAGTGAAACGTACCCTTCTCAGAAGAACCCTGCTAAGAAGAACCGTCACTTTAAATCTCCCTCTTGCTGGAAGAATTTTTTAGTTTCCCTTGCCAGTTTGTGTCATCGGGCTTCTACCGTATGTGCAAGAGATTGTAATTTTATTTTGACAAAAGTTCCATTTCTCTCCAGCATTCAAAGAAGAAGACATGGCGTTAACGTCTTCACTCCCGGATGGATTAGACAATGTAGCGGAGGGAGCGCAGTCTGTTACGGATGGCAGTAATCCTCGTACAGATAAAAAGAGACTTTCCATTCGCTTGCGGAACAAACTGGCAAGTCTAAACGCCGCGCCCTAGTGCCGACAGCGACTAAAGTTAATAGGAAAAGAGTATTTTATTAATAATTTCTGAGTTAATAATTCATTCTTCGAAGATTGATCACTGTTTGAGTGTTCAAACTAAAAAAAGAAAGGTAAAACAAAATTTTGCTTCATTGTACTAAGGAGTAACATTTTCTACCGTAACGGCTTTCATTAAAATCCGCCTTTTTCCTAATTAATTGATAATTCATGAAAGAAGACAAAGGTATTTGCTATGTCAAAGGAACGACAACATTAAAAGACATAAGTGAATGAACTAACTAAAGATAATAATTTTTAAGTAGTTTTAATGCGCGGCGATCTTGCCGCTTGCTGTAGCTGCCGTCACTGAAGCTCTTCCCTTGCAGAGCTTTTTAGAAATCTCTTACAACCTGATTTTTTTCTTTCTTTGGACATTATCCATATCTTTTGTTATCAATGCAGTACTAGACGCATTATATAGTACTCTTCCCTTTTGGCTCACGCCAAATAGCGAGATATTGTATAGTCAATACGTGTTAAAAAATAAGGAGCCCAAGTGCTGATATCAGCGGTTTCTTCTTGGGAACGAGGTGGTGGGTCATTCTGCTCTGCGTCAACCTAACCTTGTTCACAATCCTCCATAAACAGACTAACAGCTATTGTGTCTACTAGTTTGTATGTTTATCTGTTTTCATGTATCAGGCTATGTCCATTCTATGCTGGATAGCTTTTCGCGCCGACATCAAAAGCTATCTGGTACAGAATGAATGGCAACGGCACAGAACTGGAACAAATCGTTGAGGCGCTTAAAATATTGTACCAGAGCGGTTGGCCAAGAGGATTTGGTATGATGCACTAAATCCCAACCTCACTTGTGTATATTTACTTCCGCCTCAGTGTGGTCCAGTCCTCACTCCCACTCATTTACTTCCGATACGGTCCAATTAGGCCTTTTTCTCCAAAATTCTGCAAAGGCATTGTTTTCAATTTCGTCGCCCCAAGAGAAATTGAAAACAATGAGCGGCAACGGCCATTGAATAAGGCCTATACCTTTTCACACTGCGACGAAGCGGGTAGAAACCTATCCGATGTATGACCATCCACGTTCATTAGCGGCGCGGTGCAGCTTCGCTCCGTGACAGAAATCGCGCCAAAATCACCTTTCTTATCTATGAAAAGAAGCCCTTTCGGTTTTGTTTTCGTATCGGCGCAAGGGCTAACACACATAGTGCGAGCAAAGCCTCGGAAGATTTTAAAGATGCAAACAGCGCAAGTCAGGGCTCTCATCCGCCTTGAAATTCCTCGAAATTCGATCATTACTAACTTTATCCAACTGAGATTCTCAAGTACCTAATTTGAAGATAAAAGTTATTATCGTACTGTGAAAGAACAAGAGCTACTTTGTAAGTGGTAATTGTCTTAACTCAAGTCCAATTCCTAACTGCTAGTAAATGCGTGGCAACCTTTGTCTCGACACAATAAAAAAGATGTTTTTTTTTTAGCTTGCGTAGCTGTGTAACATCATTTTTTATGCGCCAGTTTAACGAAAGAAATCCGCTTTGTAATAATTACGTTTACCATAGAGTGTTTATATTTTATAAGGAAAACAATTGTACATATGAGTGCCAAAGGAAATGATTTGGAAACCTTTCTCAAGTGTCACGTCGTAAATTATTGTAAAAAAATTCCATATCGCTAATGTAAAGGTGGAAGTGGTCACAAAATAAAATTAACGACCTCTGTATGTGTCTTCAATTTACTTAGCAAACGCTTTTTCTCACATGCATTGCGGAAGTCATCTTTTTTAATGGGAGCACGGGAAACTTCGTTTAGTTAAAATTCAACATGTCACAAAGTTTCTTGTTGTGTTCTGTGGTGGGTTAAAAAAATCGAGCTATTTTTATTTGGAGGTCAGAAATTCCAACCTCTCCGATTTTAGTTGCTACTTCTTACGCTTCCGATTTCAAAGAAACTAAAATTGAAAGGTCATGGTTAAATCACATTTTGCTTCATTCGTAGTTAGTTCATAGAAAAGCCAGCGGATAAAATTATTACTTGAAACACGACATCCTTCGAATTCTACTGGGGCATGCGCATCGGAGTAGTGAAGTTATTATCAACTAACAACTGCAACTGCGCCAGCAGCGTGAAGGAAAACCTGTGTTGTTCGTGAGAGCCTAACCCCGGCCCCCTTTCCCTCTAACCCCTCCTCCAACACCTTTCCAGGGAATAGTAACTTATGTTCAAGGAAAACATTACTTCCATTTGATTTAAGTTTCGTTTGTTCCCCTCTTTCGCCAAGATTCAAGATGGCGACTTCAATGGTGCCGTGAATAGACTGGAACTAGTACTGCTGAATCAATGTCAAAATTTATAAAATGAACAAGCATTTCACCGGAAAATTGCCATCGAGAAAATAGAACTGACTACCTTTTCAAACAAACTTTAACTCGGACCAACTTTCCAAAGAAACGCCAGAGAAACGTATGTTCCATTTACATCTTACTTAAATTTCCGGCATTCCTTGGTAAGTAGAAAGCGCACGGTACTACCATTTTAGACTTTCCTTTGCCTTCGGAAATTTTCTACAGAAACGACCCGAAAAGTCGTGTGCCATCTTAAGGCTTTTAAACCGGAATTTGCGGAAACTTTTCGTAAACGGCTAAGATTTGTTTATTATGAAGTGGTTTCGGCTAGAATTTATCAAATCTAAAACGTTTCGCCATCACTATCTTTTAATTAAAGAACTAAGTAAACATGCCACAAAATATTGATAAGATAATTCAGATTATGAATTAATTGTTCATCGACGCTTAGAAGCCTCTGGCAATTATTATTTGTTAGCAAAATAGATAGATATAATGGACACGTCAATTCATAACAGTCGGATGATCTGACAACTTCGTGGTTATCTGCTTAGAAAGGTCAAGGCTACGTTATATGCCATGAAAGCCGTCTGCAGTTGGACTAAATGGCCATGAAGAGCAAATATGCGAATGTATCTATTCAAGAAAACCTTTCATGGTCGGAGTTTGTTTTCAAAAACGTCGAGGAATATGGAAACACCACAGCGATTGTAAGTTTGTAAAGCTTAATATGTATTCATAAACTGTAAACCTGGAAATATTGCAACAGTTCCGCTTCATGAGTTGACGGAAACTGCTAAGTTAGTTGTGCTTTACATTAAAACCACACGAATGAACCAAAGTGCGATATATCTTTAGTCAGCTTTGATATTTAAAGTGGCATTTTCGAGTTTGGAGCTGTGGAAGTTGAATGAGTGGACATAGCAGACATAAGGCCTAATCCGATACATCAAACTGGTATCCCGTGCAACTTCCAGAACTTCAATTTGGTTCAGGGTAACCTACTACCTATATATATCTCGCCATGTTTTTGTAGTTTATACATTATATCTTGGTTACTAACACATAGTTGGAAGACCGAACTGGGCATTGTAACAAGTTGAAGAGCAATAGCCCCGCCAGATCGGGTTAAGGAAACAAACTAAGATTGCATGCAATCAGTGCTTCCTTTGTCATGCTCAAGCAACTGGAACGGAGATGCCAATATTGTAATTAGCACAGTTCTCGTTAGAATTGATTATCAATGGATAAGGTCGGCGCTTAAGAAACCAGTAACGCTTTCCATTTGTATGGAAAACCCGTTAATTGCGGGAATAATTCAATTGGAACGGTTCATCCCAGAGGACATTTTCCGCAAAAAATTAATACCCTTTGAGGTATTACCTTTTTCCCGTTTTTACCGAGAGGATGGAAATTCTTTATACCTTTTGTTTGATTAACCAGTGCCAGGCTTCCTCTTGAGGCGGAGGGTGATTTCTTTTAACCCAGGCCCACTCGTTAGCTGGTGTTTTGCAAATGATACAATTCTAACCCATTCCCCCTTTCGGAAACTTTTTCAAATCCGATGCCATTTGTCAGAAATTTTTTACTGAAATTTGCTAACAAATGGTAAGCGCTCCATTTGTTCGTGAAAAATAATGCTAGCTTATATTAAAGGTATGGATTGAATTTTGTCTGCCAAAATTTTGAATACATTCGACTCTTTCTTAACGGACACCTTTAAGACGTGACTGACACCATGTATTCCATTTATTTGACCCTCTATATGACGGACATTACTCTTAGACAGAGACTTGAGGCAGGTCCCAAAGGTGTCCCTCCAAGAGGGAATTTACTGTATGAGTAAAAGGGAAAATTATTTAATTATAGTGGACAGATCCACTCATGTTTTTCATAGAATCACTTCAATGCCTTTGTCATGTTCATGTTCATATCTTTGTTCTTTGTCGTATTGTTCATAGTGGATAATGTGTATAAAGGGTTTCTTTTATCGTTTGTCTCTCGATTGTCACTTTTAAAATGCCTTTGTTTGGAAAATACAGTAAATTCTGCCTTTGTTTGGAAAATACAGTAAATTCTCTCTTAGACGGACACCTTTGGTAGCGGCAAAAGGCGTCCGTCTAAGAGTAATGTCCGTCTGATAGAGGGTCAGATAAATGGAGTACAGAAAGGCAGGGACCAAGTCTAGGTGTTTATTTTACCGAAGTGTCAGTCTTGTAGAGGTGTCCGGTAAGAGAAGGTCGAATGTAATCGTAGTCTATTAATCTATTATCCGATAATGTGGTTGTATTTTTTGTTCTTCAAAGGTGTGCGGATCCACAAAAATCTCCTACACTTTTTCTCAAGTAAGAGATCTAAGTAGGAAGTTTGGTTCGGCTCTAAGCAATAGGGGGATAATCAAAGGTGATGTGGTGGCGATCTTGGCTCCGAATGTTCCCGAGTTTGCCATTATATTCCTTGGTGTGCTTCAAATTGGTGGAGTTGTGACAGGTGTCAATCCACATTTCACGTGTCAAGAATTGACCAATCAGCTTAAGGAGTCCAATGCAAAGTGTATTGTTGCTAGTCGCCAATTGGCACACCGAGCCAAGGAGTCATCACGTGTTTTGAAAATAGATCACGTGTTTATTATCGGCGATGATGACGAATGTGAGTTGGTCTCAAACCTTCTCAAAGAAGACGACTCTCACTTGCCACTTGTGACTTTCAACCCGAGAGAAGACTTAGCCATTCTTCCGTTTTCCATTGGTATCAGTGGCCTACCCAAGGCTGTCATGATAACTCATTACAATTTAGTCTCGTTTGGTTCCTTGGTGAGCGCTGAAGAATTCTTGGATTTTAGAGAAAATTCAAGGGTCTTCACAACCGCACATTTCTACCAAGTCTTTGGTTCAATAGCTGTGTTGTCTCTTTGCCTGTTCCGTGGAGCCACCCTAATCTCCGTGCCAAGATTTGAATACAGCAAAGTTTTCCATCTCTTGCAAGACCATAAGGTGCGAAGTAGTATTGCAAATCGAATGCGTACATGGGTAGATGGACTTTCGACTATACCGCATACTTATTGCACTAAAGGATAGCAATCGTTATCTGAAAAAATAAACAGTATAAGCTGTTCTTGCGACCACTCTCTTAAGCGACCAGCTCAAGGTGCGACCAGAATTCCAATGTTTTGAAAATGGCACAAGTTTAGAATTCCTATGTTTGGAAAAAGGCGAAATTTAGAATTCCAATGTTTGGAAAAAGCCAAAATTTATAATTCAAACGTTTGGAAAAGCTAAAATTTAGAATTCCAATGTTTGGAAAAGCTAAAATTTAGAATTCCAATGTTTAAAAAAGCTAAAATTCAGAATTCCAATGTTTGAAGAAAGGGGAAATTTAGAATTTCAATCTTTGAAAAAAGGCGAAATTTGAAATTCCAATGTTTGGGAAAAGCAAAAATTTAGCATTCGAATCTTTCGAAAAAGGCGAAATTTATAATTCCAGTGTTTGGAAAAGGCAAAATTTGGAATTCCAATAATTGGAAAAAGCCAAAATTTTGAATTCGAATGTGTGGAAATACCAAAATGTAGAATACAGATATTTCGGAATTGCCGAAATTTACAATTCCAATGTTTCGAAAAAGCCAAAATTTAAAAGTCCAATGTTTGGAAAAAGGCCAAATTTAGAATTCCAGTGTTTAGAAAAAGTCAAAATTTAGAATTTCAATGTTTGGAAAAAGCCAAAAGTTAGAATTTCAATGTTTGGAAAAGCCAAAGTTTAGATTTCCAATGTTTGGAAAAGGTAAAATTTAAAATTCCAATGATTGGAAAAAGCCGAAATTTAGAATTCCAATGTTTGGAAAAGTTAAATTTTTGAATTCTAATGTTTGGAAAAGCCAGAATTTAGAATTCCAATATTTGGAAAATTTAGCATTTAGAATTCCAATGTTTGGAAAAACCAAAATTTAGAATACCAATATTTGGAAAAGACAAAACTTGAAATTTGAATCTTTTTAAAAAGCCAAAATTTAGAATTTCAATGTTTGGAAAAAGCCAAAGGTTAGAATTTCAATGTTTGGAAAAGCCAAAATTTAGAATTCCAATGTTGGGAAAAGCCAAAATTTAAAATTCCAATGTTTGGAAAAGGCGCAATTTAGAATTCCAATGTTTGGAAAAGGCGCAATTTAGAATTCCAATGTTTGGAAAAAGCCAAAATTTAGAATTCCAATCTTTGGAAAAAGGCAAAATTTAAAATTCCAACGTTTGGAAAAAGCCAAAGGTTAGAATTTCAATGTTTGGAAAAGCCAAAATTTAGAATTCCAACGTTGGGAAAAAGCCAAAATTTAAATTCCAATGTTTGGAAAAGCCAAAATTTAGAATTCCAATGTTTGGAAAAAGGCGAAATTTAGAATTCCAATGTTTGGAAAAAGCCAAAATTTAGAATTCTAATGTGTGGAAAAGCCAAAATTTAGAATTCCAATCTTTGGATAAAGGCAAAATTTAAAATTCCAACTTTTGGAAAAAATCAAAAATTTAGAATTCAAGTCTTTCGAAAAAGGCCAAATTTAAAATTCCGGTGTTTACAAAAATGCGAAATTTAGAATACCAATGTTTGGAAAAAGGAGAAATTTAGAATTTAAATGTTTGGAATAAGCGAAAATTTAGAATTCCAATGTTTCGAAATGGCCAAAATTTGGAATTCCAATGTTTAAAAAAGCCTAAAATTTAGAATTCCAATGTATGGAAAAGGGAAAATTTAGAATTGCAATAATTGGAAAAAGCAAACATTTTGAATTCCAATGTGTGGAATTGCCAAAATGTAGAATACAGATGTTTGGAAACTGTCGAAATTTAAAATTCCACTGTTTCGAAAAAGCCAAAATTTAGAATTCCAATGTTTAGAAAAACGCAAAATGTAGAATTCCAATCTTTGGAAAACGCCAAAATCAAAATTGCAAAGTTTGAAAAGGCAAAATTTGGGATTCCTATGTTTGGACAAAGCAAAAATGTAGAATTCCAAAGTTTGGAATAGCCAAAGTTTAGAATTCCAATGTTTGGAAAAGCCAAAGTTTAGAATTCCAATGTTTTTAAATAGCAAAATTTAGAATTTTTAATTAATGTTTGAAAAAGACCAAAATTTAAAATTCCAATGTTTGGAAAAGCTAAAATTTAGAATTCCAATGATTGAAAAGAGCAAAAATTTAGAATTCTAATGTTTGGAAAAAACAAAATTTAGAATTCCAGTGGCTGGAAAAAGTGGACGTTTAGGATTCGAATGTTCGGAAAAAGCCAAAATTTAGGATTCGAGTGTTTGGAAAAGCCAAAGTTTAGGATTCCAATGTTTGGAAAAGACAAAATTTAGAATTCCATTGTTTGGAAAAAAACAAAATTTAGAATTCCAATGTGTTGAAAAGCTTAAGTTTAGAATGGCAATGTTCAGAAAAGCTAACATTTACAATTCAAATGTTTGGAAAAAGTTAATATTTGGAATTCCAATGTTTGGAAAAAAGAAAATTTAGAATTCCAATGTTTGGAAAGAGGGGAAATTTAGAATTGGAATGTTTGGAAAAGGCCTAAATTTAGAATGAAGGCGAAATTTAGAATTGCAATGTTTGGAAAAAGGCGAAATTTAGAATTTCAATGTTTGGAAAAAGCCAAAATTTTAAATTCTGGCTTTTCCAAACATTGAAATTCTAAATTTTGTAAGAAATTAAGGGTAAACGAGACGAAATTAAGTGTACACGAGTCAAGGATTCATTTATGAGTCCTGAGTCACATTACTTTAACCGTTACCTAGTCCCTAGTCCTACCTCTAAAGAAAATCCAAAGCCTAACCATGACCTCTAATCTGGCTCGCAACTTGACTTGTAACTCTTAGTGAGTCATAATTTTGATAAAACAAGATTTCTCCTTCGTTTGAACTGTAGCGACTGTTCGAGCGTCCAAGATTTAAGCTTCTTACATTGGTTTGCAGGTGACTCATCTTGTAACAGAGGCGTCAACAGTGCATGCGATATCTAAACATCCAACGGTCGACAATCACGACTTGACCTCACTAACCCAGATAATATCAAGTTCTTCTTCGTTAAGCAAGGAGACGTCAAGAAATGTGATCAAACGTATACCTCGATTGAAAAGAATCAGTCAATGTGAGTGAACCCTGTATACACTGGCAGATACAGGGGAGGGGCCCGGGAGGCCCGCCCCCCCTTGTGTTTAGACCAAACTGAGGCCCGAGGGGCCGAAAAAGTTTTTTTTGTGACCGTCCCCCTCCTCCTCCTTTATCTGGAGGTCTGGATGCGCCACTGGTATGAACACATGACATTATCACTATCCCTGTCGTCCCTTTATTGTCCTTACTTCTTGTTGCTATTTCCTTCGCCTTCCTTCGCTTCGCTTCCTCTCCTTTTCCAGTGACAGTCTTTCCATCGTGTCTTTTTTTGTTCATTTTACTCTCAATATAATTCAATATAATTTAAGAACAGTGGAGGCGTGTGTGGCCGAGCAGTCAACACCGCGTTGTTTCCTTAGACAAGGAAGTTTACTCCACTTTGTCTCTCTTCACCCAGGTGTATAAATGGATGTCGGCGACATACTGCTTGGGGGTAACCCTGCGATGGGCTAGCATGCCGTCCAGGGGGGAGTAGCAATACTCCTAGGCTTGCTTTCTGCTACGGAAACCGGAAAAAGGCTCCGGCCGTGTAGGCCTTTGGCTCGAGTGCGCCTTTACCTTTTTTTCATAATTTAAGAACACGCTGGGCAAAGTTCGTCCGGTTTGCCAACAGATTTGTTCCTGAAAATCTGTTTGATGATTATACGTTTTGCTTTGTTGAGCATCTGAATTGGATACGTTCTCGAAATTAGTTTAATTACAACCTCTAAAAATAACTTTAGTGAAATTCAGATATCCCGGCCAACGCAAACGCCCGAAGAATCCCTCTCTGTCGCATTATTCTCTGTTAATCCGACTTAGATAAATAAACTCAAAACAAGGCTCATCTCCGTAAACTATATACTACTCATGCACATGTGCAAGCGACGAAGTGAAGAGGAATCTAGTGCCTGAAAACTGATCGTTATGTTCAGCAGGTTACAGCATCACAGAATGCACTTCTATTAGTCACATGACCTCGCCAATGGATGCAAAAGACGGATCAGTAGGGGTTCTTCTTCCAAACCTTGAGTGTAAGGTAAAGAAATGATATGCTTATAAAGTAACATGACAGAAATAGATGGGAGATGAAGGTGGCGGCTATTTGGAATTGTGAAGACTTTATTACCGTGTTTTAAATTCGCCATTAATAGCGCTGTGCACAGATTCTAAAAATAGTCTACGTCTGATAAGACCCCCAGCATGACTCAGACAAACTTTGCTTCTCACTCAAAGGCTTTAGATGCGCGTTTACTGAGTGTGGAGTCAAATTATCGGGATATGGTAAACAACAAGCGTTACAGCTGGGAAGAATGTGAGAGGGAGTCAAGGATCCCTGAAAAAGTGGTCTGAGTCACTAAATAAATGCGCGAAATCCGGAAGGAAAGCGAAGTACACTGTGTTTTGTAGCAGTGATCTGACAGCCGGGAAATGTTTTGAAAGTGTTAGATACGTGACAGTCTTAAATTTATTCCATTTTCACGAATTCTCCGATTGAATTCTTCTAAAAGCATAAAATGCTTCTGTAGAAATCACAAGCGATTTCAAGTATTGCCCTTGGTTTGAGGTAGACTAAATCGTCGACCTTGGGTATTTTGTGAATTCTCGTTGTTTTCAACACCTCACCGGCATGACGCAAAGAGTCAGTTTTCAGGATATCCCGAAAAATTATCATCGAAACCTGCCTGAAACATTTGATGTTTGTTCGCAAACGCCAAGCAACTCTAAAACAGGGTTGGTCTTGTAGTGGACGAATTCCCCAAGCTTGAGCATATTCGAATCTCGAATCGCGGGGACGGTATACTGTAAACCGGAACGGCTTAGTAGTCTAAATGTAAACTACGTACGTCTCTCTGTTTTCACGAAAAACTTATCGAATATGTGGTACGACTACGACTCTTTCTACTTCGGCAAGGGAATCGAAATTTCTACACAATCATCGAAGTTGATGAGAATTCTTTGAAAACATTTACCGCCTGGGCTGCAAATAAAGTATCGAGACAGCGTTTAAAAGTTCTCTAATTTTCCGCTCTGCTTCAATCCTTTGCACTTGAGCAATGTTTTGATTTGTTCTACATTGTATTTTGCCTGGACTTTCCTCGAATTTCGAAACTGGAGCGCTAAAACGACGAGCAGAACTGATCGCAAACTCTGCGTTTCCATACAGCGTTCTTGCGACCTCTACCAGGAATGGCCAATGTTTGTCTGAGTCTCGGTGGGGGGGTCACGTTTTTGTGACGTCATCTGTACGCAGCGCTATTCGCAATTAATTTGTCATGCAATAAAACCACTTAGTCTCAGACTCGCCGCTAAAAAGAATTCAGTTTTCTTTACCCTTGGCTTCATTCTCATTGAATTTTACTACCTCTTTGGAACCTTGAATAAATAGAAAAAAAAATAGAAAACTGATCGGGTCTGAATCAGGTCAAATTGTCATAAAGGGAACGCAGATGTTTGTGATATCTTTCTTCCGGATAATTTTCTATTGAAGGTGTGTGATGTAACTACAGGTCAAACACTGGATCGCGGACAATGTGGTGAAATTTGTGTCAGAGGGCCGACGGTAATGAAAGGTGAGTTCTATTGTACTGTCCCACAGGCACTAACGCAATAACTCTCTTAAAACACGCCAGCAAAGTTCAGGTCCCGGTTGTTTATAAGCGAATAGCATTATTCACCGAATAAATAACTATCCAGACTATTAAAGAAACCAATTACGCTTTCCATTGGATAGATATTTTCTCAGTGAATAGCGTTATCCACCTTTGGAACAAATTGACTTACTTGCTGTGGGCTAACCTGCTTAAAAAGACCGAGGAGTTGACCTCCATCTAGAGGCCAGGCGAGGTTTCAATTTTAGCCCCTCCTTTTTGGCCGTTTTGAAGATCAAGAGTGAGACTGAGTCGGTGTTGTGTCGAATTACACTATGGGACCGTTTTAGAGACGTCATCTCCTCTTTTATTGGCTGTTACGAGGTTGCGCAGGAAACTGGGTCGAAATTCCTCCCCCCAAACAGTCCCATAGTGCAATTCGATACGACACGGACCCAGTCGCCAGCTCAACTTCCAAAATACAGCCAATAGCAATTTTGTCTCCTTTCCACGCAAGGCGACTGGACAGTTCTTACGACAACAACCGGATAGTTCAGGGAATAAATAAAACACGGCTTTGCATATAACTGGATCTTCTAGCAATCATTTGAACCAATTAATCATTTCTTTTTAGATAATCTAATACAGAATAGCGGATTTAAGACTGAAGGTTTCAATTTATTTGGAACCTAGTTTTTGATAAGATTCACTGGCGCATGTGTTCTGTGGACTTAATTCATTCTATACCTCTCACGCGCCCGGGTTTTCTTATTTTCTTCATTTTTCTTTATCTCTTGGTTGCCTTCAGGTTATTTGAAAAGCCAAGAGGCTACTGATCTTATGATCGATAGAGAAGGCTGGCTTCACACTGGTGATTTGGGATACTACGACCGAGACGAACATTTTTTCATCGTCGACAAAATAAAAGATCTTATCAAAGTCAGAGGGCACCAGGTGGGTCTTAACTTTCTTACACAGACCCTCGACAAGAAAATAGAACGCGCAAGCTTTCACTAGTTTACAGCGGTAGAAATCTAAAAACTTGCACTCTGCGGGTCGTAGAATAAATTTTAAGTAGTATATGTATGCTCATGAAAAATAGTATAAAAAACGTCACAATTTCCCACTCCAGAAACCATAAGGGAAATGGCTACAAGCTTTCGGCGCAACGATTTCTGGAATCATTTGGCTGGACAAGCAGTCCTTGTGATTGGTTAATGGTTGCCTTGAGTACCATCAACCAATCTTAACTATTGCTTGTCCACCCAAACAATCCCAGAAATGGTTGCGCCGACAGCTTGCACCCATTTCCCTTATAGTTTCTGAAGAGGGGAATTGGACAGAATGTGCTGCTTTCCCGAAGGGTCATCTTGCGACGAGTTTGAGAGCAACTGTGCATTGCCCAGTGGTGAGAAAGCTCGCGCGGCCTGCCGATGTGACGAAGGTTCAAATACCGAAGGCGTGGTCATATGTGGGTTGAGTTCGTTAGTGGTTCTCGTCTTTGCTCTAAAAGGTTTTTCTATAGGTGCGCTAGTTTCCCTTCTCTTTCAAAATCAGCAACTCCACATTCCAACTCGATTAAGAATGTGGTAAAAGAAGAACCAGTCCATATTCCGGCTCCATCAGAGAGATATGGTGTACGAAGAACTAGTAAGTAGGGTTGCTACTTCTGAATTATCATTACGGTATAACATTATTTATTTATTAATATTATATTTATTATATTTTTTCCCTGTATTTCACCCAGGTTTCCCCATCAGAACTCGAGGTTCTCCTCAGGGCCCACCCGGCCATTGAAGATGCAGCGGTTGTTGGAGTCTCAGACCCCCAGATTGGAGAACTACCAATGGCATATGTTGTAAGCAAAAATGAGGACGAACTTACTGAAATGGAAATAATGCAATATGTGGACGAAAACGTTGCACCTCACAAGAGGCTACGAGGTGGAGTGGATTTTATCTCTACCATTCCAAAAGCTGTAAATGGTGAAATACTTCGAGCTGAATTGAGAGAGCTGTACAAAAGAAACAAGTCGAAAATGCAGGCACGAAGAGGATCGTTGCCTTGGAATGAGGAAAAACGTTGGTCTTCAAAGAGACACTCTATAATGGGTCCTAGCTCAAGAGCACAGCATCGTGGTACAGTTTCAGAAGAAATACCCAGAAATGTGGCCCGATCACAAAGTTGTGCACTTCTGTAAATAAAATGTTTTGTCTTCGTAATCTATGAGCGACACATTAAAAACAGACTTTATAAATAGTTCTTGATGAAGACCTGAGCTAGAGGGAGAGATTTTAACGTCTTCATATCACAATTTCCGGGTCTTGGCTCAATTGATCGGTTAGGAATAAAAACGTAGCAATTGATTCAATAAGGCAATCCGCAAACTCAGGTGGTAGTGGGATATGTGTGTATGAACCTTACACTGTTTCCACCTCGAAATTCAGGGCGGCCGCCATCATAATTGCCATATTATTATCTAACAAATCACCTGGCTTTGATAAAGACAATATTAAAAACTTCCCGCAAAAAAGTACTGACCTTATAAACACCTAGTCCACAGAAGGCTGCATCCCTATAACTTGGAAGTTGGCTGAAGTCGTTCCTCATCTAAAGAGAGGGGAACGTGAGATGGCAACCAATAATCGACCTTTCTATCACTACTACCGACCTTGTCCAAAGTTATTGAACTGATAGCGCATTAGCAGTGTGTAATTACTTTATCTTTAAGGGCAAATTGTCCATCAAAAACCACTCAATAGAGACTCCTGGTATGATATTTTCTAGTCCTTTCTTTCAGGCGGCTAATGATAAAAAAAATCCCGACAGTGATAATGTTGGATTTTAACGAAGCCTTTGACAGCATTAATCATGTCGTCTTACTGGAGAAGCTAAAACGTACTGTTGTTATTATTTACTCTGCTCTTTACTGGTTTAGAAGTTTTTTGTCGAAGTAAAGATGACGCACGGAGTATCGCATGGCATTACTCTTGGCCTGTTGTTGTTTAATGTGTACATAAGTGATCTCCCGTCTGTATAAGCACCATTATTAATACCGAGTCTTATGCTAGCTACCTAGCATTTTCTAACAAGCTCAGCCTCGAGGCCTCGACGGTGTAACAGAAACTGATGTGGATTATAAATCATATGATGTAGAGGTTCCAGCCTTGAATACTCGGTTTGTTACTACCTTCTTCCTTCTTTTATTGACCGCTTTAATTCTTACGAATTTTTACATGTATTTTGAGTGAAAATGACAAACGGATTTTGGGGTGTTCTTTCTAGTCCGACAACCATTTCATGTCATTCTTATGACATTCCCGTGGAGATAGGAGAGATTGGGACAAAGCTTTTACCTAACATCACCTGCTGTTTAAGAAAAAGAACACGGTGGTGCATTGAAATTACCTGAACTGAGGAAGGCACTCTAGTTCCATTTTAAAGTGAGGATAACGTGGACTGAAAGGAAATAGGTATATACTTTAACGCCTCCAAATCACTTTAAATTCAAACAAAGGGCGTAGAATTTTATACCTAAGATAAACTTACAGCCCAACGTCAGACCCATTTTAGACTAAGGGTAATCCCGTATTTTCCTAAAATACCAAACAACAAGCAGTTCTTGACTGACTGGCCTTAAGGGGACACGAGACCCTTAATGTTGACTTCGTCCGAGGGGGTCATTGACCGTTTTTATGCTATAGACGTCTTAGTTGTCTCACGACGACTTTAACCCCTAGTACAAAAACGGTAAATAAGACAGGCGCATTTATCGTCTGACGACTTAGGGGTCTTCTTTTAGGTGCGTCGTTCAGACGTACAACACAACTTTAACGTCTCAGACGTTAAGTCTAGTATAAAATTAGGTAGTC